CTGCTACACCAATTTGAATTTTTGATAATTGACATTATTGAGGGTGAAGTGTTTGATAATTGACGTAGGCATTTATGGGTGTTAAAATAGGTTGCACCTGTTACCTCCCACCTGTACTAATCAAGTTGTCCAAATATTGAACACGCAGGGACAAGTATGCAGACCACTAAAATCGTTCTTCACACTCTCTCATTAAATCTTTTCATCTGCTTTCTACACGGTTTTGCTTGTCTTTTCACTTTATGTTTCCATACCCTTCAGCATTAATTCTTCTCATCTGCTTTCTGCACGGTTTTGCTTGTCTTTTCACTTTGTCTCTATACCCTTCAGCATTTGGTAGGCCTTGCCTTTGTTAAATAATTATTTTTTAATTTTAATTATTTCAATCCGATCCGTATCAAGATATTTGGTTTGGTTAACGGAAACAATATTCCTAACTCGACGGAAACCTGTACCGATCCGATATTTATACTTATTCTATTATTTGAATACAAAACAAGAAATCAAAGATAAATACAATAAACATTTTGTATCACTCCTTTATCACTGATGTATCACTTCTTTATCACCATTCTATCACTGCTTTATCACCATTATATCACTTCTTTATCACCCAGGTACTGTAGCACTTTTTGGTCAGAGAGGAATTTATGAATTTCCTATGTTTTCCAGTTTCGACCTTTGTCCTGTTTTTTACTTGTAACTTTCCAACTGTTGATTCAAATTTTATGTTCTTTATATGGTTGGATAGAGCATGAAAGACTAAAGAACCCAACGCAGAACAAATGTCAAAATCATTTACATAAATGTAGAGAATTCAGTAAAAATAACACTCAAATGTTCAAACAACAAACACAAGTGGCTCCCAATACATCTTGAGTATATATTGAATGATGACTAAGTTATTTGATTTCATACTTGGATGAATTAGACTATTGAATTTTTATATTTTACAAGGATAATTTGGTGTATTTGTTGAAGAACTTATGTTATGTGAAAGTATTATAAATTGTATTTTTATTAGTATGTTTTTATTATGGTACTACCGGCGTACCAAACCAATCCGAACCGAATAATAGGTAAACCGATATGAAGTCTACTGAAGTTTTTGGATTGGTTAACGGAAGCCTTCTACCATTCCGAACCGATCCGTGCCCAGGCCTAATGAAAAGCATAGCATGCCGCTTTGTATTCGCAATTTGGATTCAAAACATGAAAAAGGACTGCATCCTAAGAATGCCCATTGTATATATAAATTAGCTATTACATTTAAAAACAAAATATGCTTTATCAGACAGTATTGTGCCAAAAAAAATATCTTTTAATTTTTTATTATGAAAATACATTATGTGTGTCTTTTTCATATTATGGATCATTTTTATTTTACTACGTTGAAGTTTACCGACTTTCAGCTTTGATACATCAAATTTTTTTCGTCTCAGTCGCATACATAACATTTATTTTTATATCACTTTCATACTAGGTTCTGGGTTTTCTGCTTCTTGGATTGTGTAAACAAACAGGTCATTGATGACCAAATAAAAGAATGAGTGTTTGTGTAAACAATAGGTCAGTAAAAGAACGAGTGTTTGTGTAATATGATTAATTGTGGTCTAGAGATGTAGTAATTATTTAATCCCAAAGCCTCCTTAGGCTACAGCCTACTGTAGCCCATAGGGTAGTTCCGCCCTTGACTGTGCCTCATAAAGTGTTACGGCCTAAGGAAACAACAGAAGTCTAGCCAATGTAACGATTGGGTGTCCCATTGTCACACAGGTGTAGGTCCCAATGTTAGCTAGCTTCTACACCAATTTGAAGTGCTGATAATTGACATTGAGGGTGAAGGCCTGCTACACCATGATGTTTTTTTTTTTTTTTTTTTTTTTTTTTTTTTTTTTGGTTTTGTTCATTTTAATTGGAAAAATTTTGCACCAAGTCTTTGACTTTTGGCCGTCTTTAGGGATGACAATTTTCCCCGCGGGTAATGGTCTTCGCAGGGATTTGACCCTAATGGGTCGGGTATGAAGGACAAAAGGGGGTATGGGGACGGATACGGGGAATTTTTTGGGTATAGTGTTTTGCGAAGGGCGGGGATGATATTTTAATCCCCAACCCGAACCCTCCCTGTTTAGAATATATATATATATATATATATATTGATGAGGTATATAAATATATATTATAGTATATATAAATATGCTATTAAAGTGATTGTGCCGACTAAGTTTTATATTTTATATTATTATATTATAATTTATACAAATCTTAAGCCATAATACTTATTTATGTAGTTAACTTCCAATACATATATAAACATTCATATATTGTATTATTTATATTCATTATCTTGCCTTAGTACGTTTTTTTTTTTCTTTCAACAAAGTAATTATATATTAGTTTTTTCTTCCCTAATGGGGCGGGTCAGGGAACCCATTCCCCAACAAAGATGGGGATGGAGAATCCCCGATATGAATATTGCGGGTATGAAGGCGGGGATGGGGGGAAAAAAGCTTAACGGGGATGGGGATGGGATGACATACCCACCCCCGATTTGACCCATTGCCATCCCTAGCCGTCTTTGGTGCTGGTAAATAGGCATTTTTGTATGTTAAAATGGGCACCTTAATTGCTAATTTGAGTTCCACTTGTTACCAGCAACATGTACTAATCAAGTTGTCCAAATTAATGAACGAGTACTCATAAATTTACCATTAAAATCGTTCTTGACTTTTGCCCCTTTCTTCACGCTCTCATTAATTCTTCCCATCTGCTTCTCCAAGGTTTTGCTTGTCTTTTCACTTTGTCTCCACCACCCTTAAGAATTTGATAGGCCTTAGAGCCCTTCCATCCGTTGCCTCCAGCCCGGGGCAGGACAGGGCCCTAGCCCAGGGAAGCGCTTCCAGCGGACCATGCTTGCTAGAGCAAGCTGTGGGACCCAAAATTCTAAAGAAAATGGAATGGAAAAGAGTGCTCTTTGCTGGGGTTTTCAGAATTACCCTCTTTGTTGTGTTCCCAATTTAACTTAAATAGCCCTCCTATTTTGTAACCTTCTTTTGCCATACAAAATATTATACAACTAGGCTCAGATGTGCAGTCAACACATTTTATTTAATTTTGAGCAACAAAGCAAGTAAATTGGAAGGCACGAAGAAGATACCAAAAAAAAAAAACTGAAAACTATTTAGGCTTTTTATCGCAAAATATCCCTGACGTTTGCAAAACTATCAGATTGCATCCTTAACCTTAATATAAGTGCTCTTAAATAGTCCCATTTGTCAAAAAAACTGTTAAATCTAGGGATATAATCGTCAAATCAATCCTTGGAATAATTGTCCAAAATGAGATATATGTTATTCTAGTTGTTAACCTTTCTCTTATATATGAACTCCATTCACAGGATATTTCCATTTCCTTTTCTTGTGCATAACCAGAGTCTTATATTCAAACATTTTCTATAACTAACTTTATTTACCATTCAATTATTTCTGTTTTTTTTTTTTTTTTTTTTTGGTTGTTGTTAATTATACTAAACGGCATTCATATGGAGTTTATAGCATACATATACTTACTCAACAATTATGGCATCAATAAAATAGAACAGTTTTTCAAAGTTCAAATCCTCATTGGCTGTGTTCGATTATCAGTTCTGTCAATGATTGGATTGCGACCACATATCTTGGCAATGTCTAGGTTCAAATTTACCAAGAAACCAGAAATTTAATACACAACCAAACCAACATATGTAGTTTTGTTTTTTTCTTTTTGTACTGATTGATGATCAAGCAGCAAAGCATGATCCGAGGTTGCATGAATAAGGTCCAGCTGGTTCCTCCTCACCCAGTGGCGGAGCCAGGAATCGAAACACAAGGGGTCTTAGTGTAAAAGTCCCAAAAAAAATTTAGGATGGAATCAACATATATATTCTACATATGCAAAAAAATGAAAATAAAAACTCACATTGTTATTGGAAATTAGTGCGATAAACATCTCTAATACTTCACTTACGCACTAAACACATAAACTTGAGACATCATTTTAATTGAGATCACATAGAAAAGGGAGGGAGGAGAGAGGAGATTATGTAGTTACCCTAAATTCCTTAATTAAACTGCCTAAGTTTAATTTTTAAAAAAAAAAAAAAAAAAAAAAAAAAAAAATGAATGCATGCACAAGCTGAGGCGCAAGAGTGGCAGAAGTTGCAGCTTCGGATAGATATTAAAGTGTAAACTTTGTTATTACTGGGGGCAAGAATGCTTTGTGATGGTCCAGAGGCCAATAGATAGCAATTTGCCATTTTGCTTTGACTTCAATTATAGTGTCTCACAGACGGATCCAGAATTTTTTTAGCGGAGGTGCAATACTGACTAAGTATGAAAAATGGTTTTTTCGGAATAATCATTTTCTCAAAATAATTTTGGCGGCTTTTATTCTCTACATATCAAATAAGAAAACTTGATTTTATGGGATTTTAGTATGAAGCATATATTGACTTAATGAGCCATCATTTTTAGCCTAAATCATATTTTGCACTAAAACCGAATTTTCATATTTTGATTTGGTGAGAATTTGATTTTCTAGTATTTTATTTGAATCCAAATAGGGGGTACTTCCTTATTTACATTGTAAACTTAAGTAAATTGAGTAATATAAAAATAAATAAAAGTAAAAGGACAAAGACATTTACTTAAATGTTGAAATGGAAATAAGGATAGATTGGAGAAGCAGTAACAAAAGAAAATTGGGAGAAAATTGGGGGTTTTGGAATGGAGGAATCGGATTTGTGGAGAAGGAGAGGCTGGAGGATACGCTGGTCATTATCTTTTTTATTTAGACCTGGCCCAAAACGACGTCGTTTTGGCCAGGTCATTTAAAAATATTCCCTGGGCCAAAACGACGTCGTTTTGCCCAGGTTGTTTTAAAAAAAAAGATGCGCGCCAGCAGCCTCGCCTCCTTCTTCTTCAGCTGTTCTGTTTTCTTCTTTCAAGCATTCCGTCGACCACATGGTGTGCAGCTCCAAGAGGTCGCGCCAGCAGCTCCAAGGGACCTCCAAGGCTATTTCCATGGCTTCCAAGAGGTCGTCCGACCCCGACGACCCCACTGTGGCTCCGCCTCTGTCCTCACCTGAAGGAATTCATCTTGCTGCGTGCCCCTGCATATGATCATATGATGTATTGCAGTTTATTTATTTAATTTATACATCAGTTCTATGAAATTGTTTTACATTCTAAGTCATAGGACGATTTGAAGCTCAAAAAAGGACCTAAAACCCAAAAACCCAGCTGCTATTTTGCCCAGAAAGTTGAAGCTTTTTTGTCACCAAAGGTTTTTAGCGACGGATGTTCATCAGATTTTTCGTGGCTAAAAATTTTCTGCGACGGTATTCTTCAAATTTTTCGTCGCTAAAACTGTGAGTTGATGAGGCATTGAAGAGGTCAAAAGGGATTGATTTGACTATTATATCCCTGGATTTAACAGTTTTTTGGACAGATTGCCTATTTAAGAACACCCATATTAACGTTAGGGACCATGAGGATACAAAAAAACTTTAAGGATGCAATCTGATAGTTTCGCAAATGTTAAGGACGTTTTGTGATAAAAAGCAAACTATTTATATGGATTTATTTATTAAATAGTTTTTCCTTGGCTTAATATTTCTCCGTCTCATTAGTGGTGTCTTTCCAATCTTTTTCAGGGTTTGTTTGTTACCAAAACCAACAAAAGAGTAACTTTAAGCAAATTTATTGAAAATGCAGAGATGTTTGCCCAAGATAAATTCAAGCAAATGAAATGGAACATTGGCGGAGTCATCAAACTGGTCCAGAGAAGTTGCAAGAAAAGAATTGCTTATCGCACCACTAACTATTATCAAAGAATTGTTAGGTAGCTGCGTCTTTCATTCAGGTATTGAAAATTGACGTGAAGCTTGCATCTATTCAGCTAATTGGAAAACTTTGCACCAAGTCTTTGATATTTCTATGCTCATTTATGCGTGTAGTTGTCCAAATATGAATCTGGTCCATTTATTAGTATGTTACCAACAAATTAATGGACACCACTTTGTTAGGTAGCTGCGTCTTTCATTCAGGTATTGAAAATAATTGATGTGAAATTTGCGTCTATTCAGCTAATTGGAAAACTTTGCACCAAGTCTTTGATGTCTGGTCGTCTTTCTATGCTCATTTATGTGTGCAGTTGCTCAAATATAAATCTTTCTTGTCTGTATATTAGTATGTTACCAATAAATTAATGGACACCCATTTTGTTAGGTAGCGCATCTTTCATTCAGGTATTGAAAATAATTGATGTGAAATTTGCGTCCATTCAGCTAATTGGAAAACTTTGCACCAAGTCTTTGATATCTGGTCGTCTTTCTATGCTCATTTCTGCATGTAGTTGTCCAAATATGAATCTTTCTTGTCCATATATTAGTACGTTACCAACAAATTAATGGACCACCACTCTGTCCGACCTTTTTCCTTTTTTTTTTTTTTTTTTTTTGTTGTTGTTGTTGTTGTTGATAAAACGATAGGCTACTCTAAGGGGATGGGGGCTCAAGCACCAATGTGCACACATGGGGTTTCGAACGGGGGTGCCGTGGGGGGAAAGGGGAAGTCTCCACCATTGTGGTAGAACCCATTGGCTGTCCAACTTTAACTTGATACAAAGGCATTTGCAGCTTTGTATTTACACTACTACAAAAATTGAAGACAACGGGAATCCACCGTCGTCTAGAAGGATTTCAATCCGTCGTGAAATCAACTGCCATCTTTTAATACATAAAACGACGACGGCAAATAACCACGTCGTTATGTCATTCAACGTCATAACAAAACTAAAATCGGTGTCTAATTGATATATAAATAGCATAAAAGGAAAACTTCGACAAAATTAGACGACGGTTTAGAAAAACGAAGATGTCTAAAGAATGTTATATGTCAAGAAATACATAAAACCTGACGTAAAAAAAAACCTTATCCACGTCTACATTTGAAGGAATACCGCCTTGTATAAAGTAGAAACCTTCATGGTTAATATATACTATGCTCCCCAAATAAAAAATCTGTCATCTAAAATATATAAAAAAACCAACCAAAAAGAAAACTTCGACAAACTTAGACGACGTTTACAGAAAAGAAGAGACATATAAAGTGTATTACATGTCAAAAATGACACAGTAATTGACGTAAAATGTATTAACCACGACACGTGTGTGGAATGACTGTCGCTTATAATAGTTTCCACGTCGTAATGGAAGAAAAAACCGCCTTTTTAAAGATGTTCCACATCCGTCTCTTGCAAGAACCGACGTGTAAATGGTAAAAAAAGCACCTTGGACAATGTCCGACGACAGTTTTTTTAAAATACTGACGTCTGAATGTTTTAACATGGCACACCTTTATTGAAAACCGACGTAAAAATTCCTAACCCAAGGACTAGGAGGACGAAATCTTGCCAGCACTGCCACTGCAGCAGCAGCAGCTGGCTTTCACCTTCTCCAAATAGGCCTCAACAGCACTGGCCTCGTCTGGTGGATGACCCTAGGCAAAGTAGGCCTTTTCCAAGGAGGGCAAAACCTCATCCTTGAGCCGCTTGACCATGACCCTGTAGGCATATTTGGCCTTGGCCCGTTTTCCTTTACCATGACCTCCATCTAATTCTAATTTGTGATATTCTTCTGGCGGGAAAAACTTCCTGGCAATGCTTTCAAGCAGCAAGATGATGTTGTAGTCGGGGTTGGCCAACCTGCCGTAGTTTGACAAGGCATAATGCATATCGCATGCGACCAAGGTTATTCTGTCCCTCATTATTAGATTCAGATAATTGCTTCAATTTGCTGTTTTTGTTTTGCTCCTAAGCCGCCTCCTTGAATTCAATTTCTCCATATCAGACTTGAATATCTCAGCCAAAAGATCCGAAACCTGGTCTGCAACAATTGATAATCGCGATCATGCTTGTACTGTAAGAACTCTATTTGAGTTCGCATCTATTTAGGAGTCCAATCTGATCAGGGATACAAGGGAGAGATAAGCTGGGTATACACGGATAAGTTTGATAGAGTTGAAGCTCTATCTCACTTGTGGAATATCTATTATATTAGGCTATGGATTCATGTGGTGATAAGGATAAGCTTTAAGGATTCCTTTATGGGCTAGGAACCTTAAGGCTCTCACCTATAAAACTAAGGCTTCGGTCCCCACTTTCATGCACAGAAAACAGACTCATATTCCTACCCATACGGGAGAGATTTAGAGTGCATAGAGAGAGGAAGACCAAGGCCAGTCCGTGTGTTTTTGCTGCTATTGATGTGCTTGCTCTAATGGCTTCTCGAGGTTAGTACTTATAGATTACATGTGAAATAGAACTTACATGTGGTATTAGAGCGGTCATATGCATCTATAGGTCTAAACAAGATAAAATTGAGAAACATGCATATTTGTTCTGTGTTGATTTAAAATTGTTTCAGGCATGCCATATTAATAAATCAATCTTTCATTTTGTTTCGAGATCCTGAACTATGTTGTGATGTTTGTTGTTTCAAAATTTGATAGAAGTATGCTTAGGATAAAAGAGATCAAATATGGTTTTCCTTAATAAAATATGTTATGATTCCGCATAAAGAATAACATCCCATAAAGTGTTGCCATGTTTTGATAGAAAATATTTTGTTATTACTTAGTCCACAGATGAGTATTAATTGATTGTTTCATATCATCTCAAAGTATCAATGGCAAAATTGTGTCATAGGGTACAGTAGTTGGTTTTATCTGTTTACAAGTGTGAACTTCAATTGTTTGTTCTCCATGATAGAACAAGAGAGTTCATTAGCTGTTGTGAGTGATCAAGCATTACTGTCCACAGAAAGTAAATTGTTTTGATAAAGGAAAATCACAACAGTTCATGTTGCTGAACTTGTGAAGGAAATTAAAGGCCTTTTGATATACTATCCACAGATGTGTGTCATATGTGCATAAAGTTTTTGGGGTAAAGATTAATTGTATTGCAAAATTCTATGTTTTCAGTTGTGAATCCCTCTGCTATCAATTCAACTGAATCACTGACTGGTAGCAATTTTAAGAAGTGGAAGAGAGACTTAGAGATAGTTCTAGGTCTTCTAGATCACGACTTAGCGCTGAGAGAAGAGAAACCTGAGGTCACTAGCAATAGCAATGCTGAACAGAAGCAGAAACTCGAGAGGTGGGAGAAGTCAAATAGGATATGCCTACTTGTCATGAGGAAATCCATGACAAAAACTATTTGTGGTGGCATCACTGAATCTGAGAATGCTAAGGATTTTTTGGAGGCCATAGGACTGAAGTTTAAAGAATCCGAGAAGGCAGAAACTGGAACCTTGATGACCAAACTTGCAACCATGAAGTATGATGGTGTTGAGGACGTGAGGGTTTATCTTTTAAGCATGATAGAAGTTGCAAGCAAGCTGAAAGCTCTGGAGATCCCTATAGCTGACCCTTTTCTAGTTCACCTTGCATTAAATTTTCTTCCTTCTTAGTTTGCTCAACTAAAGGTGATCTACAATGCTTAAAAGGACAAATTGAGCCTCAATGAACTGATTTCAGTTTCTGTTCAAGAAGAGGCAAGAATGAAGAAGGAGAAAGAAGTGAACACAGTCCATCTCACAACCAATGCTCCAAAAAGACACCATCCTAAGCCAAACTCATCTGCTGCTGCCAATAAGGACAACACTAAAGCTAACTCTCCACCCAAAGGTTCCAATGCTTTAGCGGTTAACAAAACCAATGTCTTTAAGTGCTATTTCTGTGAAATGGCAGGTCATCTTAAGAGGGAGTGTCATAAGTACAAGCATTGGGTAGAGAAAAAGAAGACTAAAGGTAATTCAAATTCTGTTTCAGTTTGTTTCGAGTCTAGTTCTGTCAATATACCTTCTAATTCTTGGTGGATTGATACTGGTTCATCAATCCACATTGCCAATTCTTTGCAGGACTTTATAAGCCAGAGCAACCAAGTAGAGATCATGACCATGTCTAGTAGGAAATGGCAAGAAGGTGGCAGTTCTTGCTATAGGATCAGTCCAACTTCAACTAGTTTCAGGATTTTCTTTAGTTTTAAAAGATGTTGCTTATGTACCTTCCATGAGAAGGAATTTGATTTCAGTTTCCAGATTGGTTAGGGAGAATTTTATTTTTGTTTTTTCTGAGGTAGGATTCAATTTGAATTTTAATAAAAGTGAAGTTGGCAATGGTGTTCTAGTTGATGGTCTCTTTAAGCTAAACTGTTCCAGTTCAAACAATGTTTTTGCTATTGATTCCATAGGTCAAAAACGATCTCAAAACAATGAAAATTCAGCAAGGCTATGGCATAAAAGGCTAGGCCATGTGTCTACGAAAAGAATGCAATACCTTGTGAAAGAACAAATCCTTCCTCCCTTAGATTTTCAGATTTTGAAGAGAGCATTGAATGCATTAAAGGAAAAATGACCAACTCAAGAAAATTAGGTTCCACTCGAAGCCAAAATCTTCTTGAAATTATTCACACAGATATCTGTGGCCCTTTTCCAGTTCCAACCATAGAAGGTCATAGGTATTTCATCACCTTCATTGATGATTTCTCTAGGTTTTGTTACATCTATCTAATCCAGAACAAGTCTAGTGCTTTTGAAGTTTTTAAAGTCTTCAAAACTGAAGTAGAAAATCAATTAGAATTAAAGATTAAAGTTTTAAGGTCAGATAGGGGTGGAGAGTATTATGGCAAGTACGATGAGCAAGGTAGGCATCCTTCACCATTGGCACGTTTTCTACAAGATTGTGGAATCATTGCTCAATACACAAACCCTGGAACACCTCAAGAGAATGGAGTTTCAAAAAGAAGAAATAGAACTTTAAAGGACATGGTGAGAAGCATGATTGGCAACACTGATCTTCCAAAATTTTTGTGGGGTGATGCAATCAAAACTACAAATTACATTCTGAATAGATGTCCAAGCAAGTCAGTTCCTAAGACTCCTTTTGAGTTGTGGAATAAGAGAAAACCTAGCCTTAATCACTTACACGTTTGGGGTTGTAGAGCTGAAGCCAAAGTCTATAATCTTGAGCTTGCTAAACTTGATCCAAAAACAGTGAGCTGCAGATTTATTGGATATGCTGACAGATCAAAAGGTTTTCGATTCTACTGTCCTAATTACGTGAATAGAGTTGTAGAGACAGGCAAGGCAAGGTTTATAGAGCACGATGACAATGAAGGAGTTAACAAAGACTTTGTCTTTGAAGAAGAAGGAGAGATAGGAGCTGAACCTGTAAATGTCACAAATCCAGTGTTGCCTTTACCATTAAATCAAATGTCTTCTCAAATTAATGCATCAACTGAACCTGTGATTCATGATCAAGACATGGAGGATTTGAATGGGGAAGAGAATGAAGCTGATTTTGACGGTATTGAATTTGAGGACCCATCAAATTATAAACATGCTATGTCTAGTGAATACTCTGAGAAGTGGATTGAAGCCATGCAATCTGAGTTGGAATCCATGAAAAGCAACAATGTTTGGGAGCTAGTTGAGCCAAGACAAGGAATTAAACCGATTGGTTGTAAGTGGGTGTTCAAAACCAAGAAAGATTCTAAGGGTAACATTGAGAGACACAAAGCAAGGTTAGCGGCCAAGGGGTTCACCAACAAGAAGGAGTAGACTACAATGAAACTTTCTCACCAGTTTCAACCAAGGATGCTTTTAGGATCATAATGACACTTGTGGCTCATTTTGATTTGTTTTTACATCAAATGGATGTGAAAACAGCCTTTCTCAATGGAGATTTGAGTGAAGAAATTTTCATGTTACAACCTGAGGGTTTTATAGAAGAAGGCAGTGAACATTTGGTATGTAAATTGAAGAAATCAATTTATGGTTTGAAGCAAGCCTCTAGACAATGGTATCTCAAGTTTGACAAGATCATTACTTCAAATGGTTTTGTCGAAAACAGATTAGATGAGTGCATATACTTAAAATTCAGTGGGAGTAAATTCATTTTTCTAGTTCTTTATGTAGATGACATCTTGCTTGTTAGTAGTGATGAAAGTCTTTTACATGATACTAAGAATTTTCTTTCCATGAATTTTGAGATGAATGACCTTGGAAAAGCATCATATGTATTAGGAATCGAAATTCACAGAGATAGAGAAAAGGGACTGCTAGGTTTGTCGCAAAAGGCATATATTGAGAAGGTGTTGAAGAAATTTAACATGCTTCAAAGTAATGGAGCTGAGGTTCCTGTTTCAAAGGGAGACAAACTAAGCAAAGAAGACTGTCCAAAGAATGATGTAGAAAGGGCAGAAATGAAGGACAAACCATATGCTTCGGTAGTAGACAGTATCATGTATGCACAGGTGTGCACACGACCTGATCTAGCATTTTCCATTAGTGTATTAGGCAGGTATCAATCTGATCTGGGCATTGCACATTGGAAGGCTGCAAAGAAAGTGTTGAGATATATGCAAAGAACAAAAGGACATATGTTAGTTTACAAAAGAACAGATAGCTTGGAGTTGGTTGGTTACACAGATTCAGATTTTGCAGGATGCAAAGATACTTCCCAATCGACTTCCAGTTTTGTGTTCATGATGGGAGGAGGTGCAGTTGCTTGGAAGAGTGCAAAACAACCATCTATAGCTACATCTACCATGTTTGCTGAGTACTTGGCGTGTTATGAAGCTACTTCACATGCCATGTGGTTGAAGAATTTCATACAAGACCTAAAAGTAGTTGATTCTATAGAGAAGCCTATTCAGCTGTTTTGTGACGATAAAGGAGCAGTGTTCTTTTGCAAGAGCAATAAAAGGTCTGCTGGACTCAAGCATATGAAAGTGAAGCATTTGCTAGTAAGAGAAAAGGTTCGAGAGGGCTTAACGACTGTTGATTATATCAACACTACAGAAATGATAGCAGATCCCTTAAATAAAGCAATTCCAAACAATGCTTTTCATAGGCATGTGACCAATATGGGGTTATTGTCCAGTTTCGAAGATTCTTTGGTCTAGTGGGAGTTGATGACTTGTTCACATTTCACCTATTTGTTTAAGTTTTTGTTTGTTATTTGAGCTAGTGTTTTTGTCTTGTCATCTGGTTAAATTATTCTGGACAGTTTGGATTCTTAAATGAATATTGATTCAGTTTCATTGATTTTGCAATATGATTACAGTTTAAAGTTTAAGTTGTAAAACAATTTAAGCCACAGGTAAGATCATGTGTATAAATATATTGATCATAAAGAGGACCATTCGTGTGGTGAATGAATAACTTCAAAGATTAGATCATTCATCATGTGATGTTGGACATAGCTTGTTGGCACTCTATGTGTATGTTACTGCTTGCTGTGATTATAGGTGGATGATACCATGTAATGGTTATCGTGTCTGTAGTCCTTTAAGTTGGTAATATTGACAATGAGTTTGATATAGATATTGTTATCAAGCTGTCTTTCCAAACTGTGCACATAAGGTTTTGATCCTTGATTTTTAAGGAAGAGTCTTAAATAGATGTTTCACTCAAGTGGGAGAATGTAAGAACTCTATTTGAGTTTGCATCTATTTAGGAGTCCAATTTGATCAGGGATACAAGGGAGAGATAAGCTGGGTATACACGGATAAGTTTGATAGAGTTGAAGCTCTATCTCACTTGTGGAATATCTATTATATTAGGCTATGGATTCATGTGGTGATAAGGATAAGCTTTAAGGATTCCTTTATGGGCTAGGAACCTTAAGGCTCTCACCTATAAAACTAAGGCTTCGGTCCCCACTCTCATGCACAGAAAACAGACTCATATTCCTACCCATACAAGAGAGATTTAGAGTGCATAAAGAGAGGAAGCCCAAGGCCAGTCCGTGTGTTTTTGCTGCTATTGTTGTGCTTGCTCTAATGGCTTCCCAAGGTTAGTACTTATAGATTACATGTGAAATAGAACTTACATATGGTATCAGAGCATAATGGCTTCTCAAGGTTGGCCAACCTGCCGTAGTTTGACAAGGCATAATGCATATCGCATGCGGCCAAGGTTATTCTGTCCCTCATTATTAGATTTAGATAATTGCTTCAATTTGCTGTTTTTGTTTTGCTCCTAAGCCGCCTCCTTGAATTCAATTTCTCCATATCAGACTTGAATATCTCGGCCAAAAGATCCGAAACCTGGTCTGCAACAATTGATAATCGCGATCATGCTTGTACCGCTTAACATCCTTGTGCAACAATTGATAACGGTTGTAGCCCCGACGAGGAGTAGTCTTGTAAATGTCTTGGCCTTCTCGAAGGATGTGGTACACAATGTTCATTGAGGTGGAAAAAGCCCCGAAGGACCGGACAAAAGGTGCTAGGTTGCACAATAGTGTCTCGGGGTGGTTGTGGTGGAGCCAAAACGCAGCCGTGTAGAAGACAGAGAGATTGAACTTTCCATTGGGATGGCCAAGTAGGTTGCAGACGAGCTTGAGGGCTGTTGTTGGTAATTTTTAACAACAATATTTAAACCTTGCAAGTGCACAAATCAAATGATAGTATAGTAAGCAAGCAAGGGTCATTCCCACAGAGATTGTAATCTAGAGAGATGTTTATCAATGTCACGCAACGAAAACACAAGGACTTCCACACACACGCCAACACCAAGGGGGGTTTGATTTGATTTTGTGAATAAAACAAAACAGAATTTAAATTAGAGTTTAAGAGAAATTGGTTTATAATCAATCAAGAACAATAGCTAGGACTCACTATCCACCTCTAACCAATCAATCAATCCATAAACAACAATAGATAATCAATTTCTAGCAAGCATATGATGACGACACTCACAACAAGATCATGGCATTTGACTCGAGTTGTATGATTCTCTCTTAAGTGCATGTAAAGTGTATGACATTTACATCAATACGTGTATTCTTAATTGAAATATAGTATGGCATTTACTCAAATTAACAATTAAGAATCCATTAAGATCAAAGAGAATATGAGTGTCACAAAAACCCTAAAACATGGCATTTGTTATTAGGAATTCAAGAATCGATTTCTCATAACTAGTTCTTAACCCAATTATTCGTTGCAAACAAGAACACATTCAATATGGCAATTGACCTATGTTCTACAACAATTTAATTCCAATACATGCTTCAAAGTTAGCTACTCAAAGAAACAAAATATCAGAATTCACATAACATAGAGAAACCGAAATCATCACGCTTGTAGAAACTGAAAATCCATTCAAACTTGTTTATAGAATTGAAATCATGTTTAGGGCTTCAAGATTAAGCCCTAACTAACAAGAAATTAGTTACTCATGCTCTTGGATGAACTCAAAAATAAATACATAGGAACTGAAACTTAAAAGAAGAAGGGAAAAGAAAGAACTCGTTGGCAGCTTTCTCCTCTTATGCGGTTGATCCCTTTTGGACGTGAATCCCTTGTATCGGGGCCTTGGCTGGCCTTTTATATCACTTATATCAAAGTTATAAACCCTAAAATTGACTGAGAGTCGTCCAAGAAGTCTTGGTAAAAAAGGAATCCAAATAGGAAAGTAAAAATCACAATTCCTAACTCCAGAGGGAAATACAGCTCAGCCCAATTGTCACACGATTTGGGGATCTTCGGCCTTGTAGAAAAATCATTAAAAATATATTTTAGAAAGATAAATGTCTTATCTTTCCAACCATATATAGCACGTAACTTGGAAAATTCGGGAAGGCTTCCGTTTCTTCACATTCACGTAACATGTACGAAACTGTCTTGCCTGCACTTGGGCTAACTTCACTTGTAATACTGTACCAATTGGCTCGGTAGAAAATTCTAGAAAAATCAGAGATTGAACTTCAAGATGTTAGCTTTCATCTCCAATTGGCCTTACGCTAAAATTCCTCCAAAAAGTTGATTTTTCCTTAAAAACCTTCTAAGAGCGCAGAGAAGCTGAAAATCAGAAAAGTAAAGTAGTAAGCCCTTTTTAAATCTAATTCTCTTACAAAACCTAAGTAAAAAGAGTACATAAATGAGTATATTTATGGACTTATCAGCTGTTAGGGGATTGTGGGACCAGGCCCAAGGTGTATGTGAGCTACTATGGTTGAGGAGATTGTTGAGAGATCTTGGTTTTGGGCCACAGAAACCCATGGATTTATATTATGACAACAAGGCTGCAATTGCAATTGCCCAAAACCCAGTGCAACATGATCGTACAAAACATGTGGATGTTGATTGAAATTTCATTAAAGAGAAGTTGGATGCGAAGATTGTTTCCTTCCCATTCATAAGTTCTGAATATCAGTTACCCAATGATCTTAGGCCATCTCCAGCCATAAGGCTTAATGTAGTCCAGGGCTACAAATTTCGCCCCCCAAAATATTAATTTTTTGAAGAATAGTGCAGGGCTAAATTTTTCCATCTCTAGCCATGCAGGGCTATATTTTAGGATCCTTCATATTTTATTATTTTGAGAAAGGGAAGTAGGAGGTGCTTTAATGTTTGGTGGTTGAAAAGCACATGGTGGGACCCACTATGAATTTGACCTAGGCCAAAGCTGGGCTACATTTGGCCCGGTTGGAGGGCTAAAATGCCAAATGTGGCTCTCCAAATTTGGCCAAAATTTTATTTAGCCCACGGTTGGGGATGGGTTTTGCATTATTTTAGGGCTATATTTGGGATATAGCCCATGGCTGGAGATGGCCTTACAAAAGCTGTTTCGACCAGTATCTTCCTCAACTCGCTTGACAAGTTGAGCATACGTGACATCTTTGCTCCAACTTGAGGGAGATTGTTAGCGAGATCCTAGTGCAATTAGGAGATTTACTTCCTAGTATATTAGGATTCTATTTGTTTCCTTTTGTATAGATATTATGTAATTAGGACTTTATCTTATTTCCTAGTATAACTCTACTAGGGTTTGTAATTCTGTATTATAAATATCTCCTTTCGGAGACTGGAATACTACTTGAAAAATATTCTACACATATTGTTTGACTATTTTGATATAGGGAGTTTGGTTATCCTCTACTTGGCCTCTATTTTGCTACCTCTTGCTTGATACTCATCTATTGCTCTGTTTTTTACTCATCCTTTTCTCTCTTTATTTAAATTTTAAATTTGTGCTTTTACACATGTATATTATATTAATATGCCTCATTCTTTTTTGCTTATGAAGATTCATTCCCGGAATTTGAAGGTATGCTTGATTCTATTATGCTTCTGTTTTGGTCATGAAGATTATTCACTCTCTGAGATCAAACCAAGGGATTTAAAGGTATGCTTGATTATACTATACTTCTATCGTTTGATTTAATATACCTCTAAAATCTGTTTTGGTTCCTTTTTTTGGGATGCTGTGGTAGAATTGCTTCATGTACTGTACCAACCAATTGTAGGTTACTTTATTACCAATTGTAGGTATGCCACCATCTTTCTGTAACTTATTAGTAAGATCGATTTGCTCAGCATCTTTTTACTTTAGCTGCCGACTTCTATTGCAGCTCTACAAAAACAATGCACAGAAATACAATTGCTATGATAAATACAATAGTTAATTCTAATTATATAATACTAGCCTCTCTGCACGCGCGCCTTTTTTAATCACGAGCGCTATGCGTGACTTCAAAATCTTTTTAGTTTTTTGTAATTGTATTTTTTTAGATAGCTATCTTCAAAGTTTTTCTTTATTGCCCGTATTTTCTAGATGTTTGTCTCAACAATTTACGCTCGATAAAAGAAAAAAAAACTGTTAAGTCGCGTGTGATTAAGAAAATGCCTCTAGCACGCCCATGCAGAAAGGCTAGTAAAAATACAAAAACATTGACATTAGTATAACACCAGAAATTAAAAATTGAGAACCTCAATGCGCCTACAATATTTGCAGGAAGTAGGAATTCCTCCTTCCAGGTAAGGAGGGAAGCAGTGTCCAACTTTTAAATACTATTTAAAAGTCATAATTGAATACCTTCAGACTTCTTAACTCTATAAAAATTTTAAAAGTTAGAATTGGATACACCCAATATTAATAAAATAACCCGAAAATAAAAAATCTAAATGTGGCCGAAAAATTTAACCATCAAATGAATTCCGAGCCTCTGCATTTAGCATCGATGCATTTACACACATTCAAAAAAATGTAAACCATTAAATTAATTTAATGATTTTAATATATCCACGTCAGCAAACTTGTAATAAAAACTAATTAGTTGCACCTTATTATTTCCCCAGTAAGTCGCAACCACACCCTACCTCACACACCGCCAACCATGGCTGCAACCTCTGTCTCCCTCCCTTCTTTTCTCCTTCTCTCCTTCTCTCTCTCCCTTTCCCCCTCTCATCCTCCCTCCCTACCTATTTGGGATAAGTGGCTCTAAACAAAGCCTAGGGACTGAAAATATCAAATTCTTATCTTTAATACTATTTTCTCAACTTCAAAATTAAACCTGCAAAATCATAAATGAAAAATTCATCTCTTCCTCACTCCATGATTGAGGAGGAAGGGAGACGGAAGTGGCAACCATGGCTGGCAGTGTGGGTTAGGGAGAGAGGGAGGGACGAAGGGAGAGAGTGGGGAGAGAAGGAGTGAGGGAGGAAGGAAGGGGGGGTGGGTTGCAGCTTACTAGGGAAATAATAAGTTGTAAATAATTAGCTTTTAGTTTAATACTGTTTGTGCCTAATAAATCACGGTCATACACTGATTGAAGGGATTTCCTCTTGGTCGTGGCGCATACCGTTTCGTTAAGCATTTCGCCTTCCTAAAAACAAAAGAAAAGCTGCAAAGGCAGAATTCTCTCGGCCTCACGACCACAGTATTGAAGGCCGAAGCCGAAGGCCGTAAAAGACACGGCCGAAGAAACTGTGGTTAAATCGCCACATGGTCTCAGGGTCCCACGCCCCATTTAATGAAGTAATGTCTCTGACTTTCACAGCAAACCCACTAATAGTAAGAAGCATTTAATGCACAAGGGAATGAGGGAAGTGACTGAAGTCAGAATTTGGTGATGGAAATTAGGGTGGTTAGGCGCAGACATTCTCACAAGTAATCTTACGACTTAAGGTCGGATCACCAACCACCAGACCAAGGCATTAAATGCGTTCCCACGGCCAAAGGGGTAAAACCCACGATCAGGGCGGTGGCCGAGATTTACCGAGATTTATGGGGGTCACACCACCATGCTTCACGATCCCAAATGCCGATTTGACTACCCACTTGCCCCGATCAGGCTCCACCACGCAAGTCTTTTCAGCCTCGATTGTCCCTCCAGGACTTCTCCCATAAATACTAAGCTCAGGACTACATTCAAAGGGTTCAAATACCAAACCAAAAGCCTCCCACTGAGCAAATTATATTTTCCTGTAATGCACTTTCAATACATTTATTTGCTTTCCTAGGAGTAGTGATAGATTGTAAGGAAAACTCATTCATCAATATATCATACGACCCTTGATTTTCAAGGTGCCGGAGCACCATCTCTGTTATCATCTCATTCACCCCATATATCATACGACCGTCGCTCTCTGAGCAACGCGCCGGAGCACCGCCTAAAACCCGCCACCAACACCACCACTAAACGGCCTTGTAGCTCAGGCCGTGAACCTGATGGCCGAGATCAGTTCCTCTCTCGGCCACAATCGTTTGATTAGGAGTAGAACGCAAAACAGACGCATCATTTAACCATCTTCTACCCGAACCTCACCACCATCTCGACGCACGGTAGACCGTGCTGGCACGCCCGCGCACAACCGCACTGCATCCAAAAGAAGGACGTCACATGTTGACGCACATCCCCTCGGCCCGGAGCATCAGGCCGCAAGATTTGCGCGAAGCCAACAAATACAAGTTTGCTGACGGTGACTTAATAAAATCATTAGATTAATATAATGGTTTGTATTCTTTTAAATGCGTGTAAATGTACTGATGCTAAAAGCAGAGGCTCGGAATCCATATCAAATATACAGTTTTTTCTTGGGAGATTCACTATTATACCTAATATATGTGCCCTAATTTTTTTTTTAAAAACCCTACATGAAATAAATCAAGCCCAACCTTAAAAACTCATTAAAAAAACCCAAAATTCACTGTTAGAAAAACGCTTGATAGGGACCCCTTTATTAGAGACAAATAAAACAGTCTCTATTAAAGGTTATTAGGGACTGATAATAAAAACAGTCTCTATTAAAGGTTATTAGGGACTGATAATAAAAACAGTCTCTATTGAATGTTATTAGGGACGGATTAATAAATTTTGTAACTAATTATTTCAATAAGTTAAACAAATAAGGCACAGATTAGTTTCTCCGCATGCGATTCCGCGTTTGAGAGAGGTTTTAAAAAAAAAAATTGTTAAATTTATTTTAGAATTAAAATAGATAATAGGTAGTTGTGTTCTATAAAAATAAAATCTATTATTTGATTTTTTTTTCTTTTAATTTTAATTTTCTTTAATATAAAAGAGTTTGTGGTACACATGGATGTTGAGGCAATTCATAAATTTCATATAACAAGGGCACAAGTGCTCTACATGACAATCTTTTGCGATATTCCAAAATGCCTAAACTTTACAGACTACAACTACAAGCCATGTGTTTTAATCCTTCACTGCCAATCATTGGTAACAATAATTGTTTTGTCAGGTGGGAAGAATACATTTTGGGGTCAGGTACATATGTATTTTCATGTAAGAATGCGACATAACATCCTTCTATTAAATTTAGTTTCGTTTAGAAAACTGTAAAATTATAAACTTGAATTCTGTTCGTACCATTAGTTTTTACTACAATTGACATCAGGTACAATTTGTCTTACTATCTTGGAAAATTTTGGATGGAAAAAGACTTGAAGATGAGCTGCCCCTTGAAGCAAATGGTGACTACACCAAGTCAAGGAGGAGGAGCTTAATTAATGGTATTTTATGGTTGTTGATAAGCACATTTTATATCTTAATTTATATTCCTAAAATATATTTATTAGTCCTTTTTATCTGATAAATTTAGTGACATTTGTCAGTAGAGGACCCATTTAAAAAATACTAATATATATCAATCCCTAATACTACAATATGCACTTTTTTCAGTCCCTAAAGAAGTCAAAAGGGATTGATAGCACTCAGTCTCTTTTGAGCTTTTTTTGGTTGTAACTCTATAGGACATTAAAGTAATTTAATAATCAAAATTAAATTCAACAGGGACAGCTATCATTTTTTGGGTTTTTGTTGTTGTTTGTTTATAGAAATTAAATTGTGTATGGTTTATCTATATTATTTGTGCTAAAAATGGGTATATTTGTATTTGGCTGGTTTTCGCTCTTTAACTCGTTATATTTTTCTTAATAGATTAGGAAACCAATTCCATACACAAAAAGAGATTATATCTTTCCAAATCATACAAGAAGATGGATCACAATCCTATAAATACGGAAAAACTCTTTGATAAGCATCATTATGTGCTTATTTCCACCTAAGGTGGTGGGCTAGTATTTGATATACCCTAATTTGGCTAGTCAAACTAAGCCTATATGCGGAAAGCGGAAAAACAACATTGGGCTGGAGCCTAGTTGAGCTTACATGTAGTTCCGCCCTTGCCCAAAAGCTTAGGTTTTTTTTTTTTTTTTTTTTTTTTTTTTTTTTCTCTTTTGGTTGTTAGTATTACAATAAATCCCACCTAAAATATGTTTTAGAGTTTGTATAGGAAGGGAATGGTTTCCATTCCATGATTTATAAACACCAACACTTTTTAAACACTATATAGGATATGGGCTTAGTGGAAGCAAAGTTGGGCATCATGCCAATTTTTCAGATTTTTCTAACCAATAACATGTGAATTTATCATTGTGTATGATTGTAAGTATGCGGTAGATTTAAACATGGAAATGCATCAATTGTTTCTGAATTGTCTATGCAAATAAATATAACAAGTAGAACCCTATTTTTTCCTACAACAACATGTTTGGCTCTGGAATTAGAGGTTTGGGAACGGATAGTCCATGCTAATTTAATAATCAACAGAACAAAGTCATGAGATCTATGTATTTGCGACGTATTGAAACACAGATCAGCTTTCGTCTAGTTCATCACCAGATTATTACATTTAAGAAAAGAAAACGAACCATTATATCATATAATTATGTAGCCCCAACCAAAATCATATTATAGGAGGGCATTTGAAAACACCATCCAAGCAACTAGCCATACAAGTATCATTACACTCTGTTGACTCCACATCCACAGTCATTCCACATTTCTCACACTGAAGAAAACACATTTTATGGCAGCATGCTTCTTTCACAGGAATCAAACTGTCATGATCATAAGATAATATGAAGGGAACGATCCACGGATTCGCAGAGATTTTATCATCACCTTGTCCTTTTGATGCAGCAGCAGCAGCAGCAGAAGCTAAAACAGCAACAATAATTACCACACTCCATAATCTGATCATCGCCACAATAATGAGCCTAATCTCTATATATTGCTTTAATTTAGTACACAAGATGGGGAATTAAGAAAAGTCAAAATAATTACAGTCTAGCTTAATTACATGTATGGTGTATCTACTAATTAGAAATTGGAATTCTCATCAAAAATTGAATTTCACATATGGAGGATTCCTGCGTTTATTTCACATCAAGGAATTGAAAAGTAAGTGGGGTCCACACAAAATTAGGAATTGAATTCTTGATTTTGGAGGAATTTTCTTGGGTGGGAGATGGTATTCTAATTCCTAGAGAACTAACCAATTAAGAATTCATCCTTTTTACCCATTATATCCTCGCACAATTTTGAAAATTCCAAATTTGTTATCTACTTTAACTTAGCAATGAGGACATTTTAGTAATTAGTACCACTCCTACCACAATTCCATACGATTTAATAAACAACTTCAATAGGAATCCAGAATCTAACTCCTCTCAATCCATTTAGTTTAGTAAACAACTTCAATTGGAATCTGGAATCTAATTCTCCTCAATCCAACTTCTCCTCAATTCAATTCCTCCTAAGCCAATTATAGATTAGTAAACATGCTAGTAATGTAAGAGACTGAGCGTGTCTTCTGTATATAAGTATGAGGGCAAGGTTGTTTAAATATTTTAATATTAATATTTGAGTAGGGGTTGCCTTTTCACCGTTCTAGACTCTTTTAGAGTAAGCAATTGAAAAAACAAAGAGGCTATCAATGTTTCTTGACATGCATTGACGAAGGTGTCACGTGGACGGCCTACTCAGCAATGCCTCGTCACTCGAGATGTGTCACGTAGACGGCCTACTCAGCAAGGAAGTGGATTTATCACCCTTGTATTTAAGAATGCAATTGGGTTTAATCAAATATTCAATCTGAGCACCATTTGTGCTGAACTATCAACACAATATGATTATAAAATTACTAATGCTTTTGGAAGCTTTTGGAAGCTCTGCATCCTCACATGCTATCATTTTGTAATATTCCACACTGTCACTATTTTGGCGGTGTGTTGTTTTTTTCTCAGGATGTCGGTGAATTCAGTATTTTGGGGGGCCAAAAGAAAACAATAATTCAAAGGTCCATATCATCACGGGTTCAAAATTCAAATGCGAACCCGTGAACATTATAGATAACACTTTTCAAATAGAAGAGAGCCAGTCCAAGGCAAATCATATCATACAAATAAGGCCACAAACTATGTTTATATATTGCTTGGTTTTTAATACTAAATTAGCCTCCCATAATATGATTAGTTTATCAAGAATAAACATTTACTTATAAAAGTAATCATCCCTAATTCTTCTTAGGCGGTGAGGTATTCTTGGTTTTACATCTCCCTGAGCAGGAATCCACGCAGCCGCTCACTTTCTCTACCTCTACACTCAGAAAAATAACCCAAATTAAAACAAATAAACATGAAGAAAGAACAAATAAATTAAATCCATAGACGACAAGGGAAGTGGAATTTTCATTTTAGCCTGCAATCAGTTGTATATAATTATGTGTCTATCTCTTTCATTAACAAACATACGATTACATATACAACCGGTGATAAGGAAGAATGATTTCGTACCTGGGTTTTGTTTAGTGCTGAAATTGGAACACAAGGTAGAAGCACATCCAAGCTTGCAGAAGTTATAGTGATTGTGGTTTTGGATATTACTCTGACCTAAAGGAGGGTTTGGTATGATGCAATCTTTCAAGCATTCAAGGGTGCATGAGCCAACCGTGTTGTTAGGAATGATGACACAGAGGATGAAGCAGCTCCCATAGCAGCTTTCGAAAGAAGCAGTGGACTGACCCACAAGCATCATCCCCAGCACCAAATAAGCGACCGCCAGTGACCTCAATTCCTTCTTATCCATCGATCTAATTCTCTCTGCCGACCGAACCAAGAAATGACAAATGAAACTTATAGCTAAATGGCAGAGCACGTCTCTACCCCTATTTATAATGGCTTGGTTTATATGTAGACAGTCTGGATAGAACCGGTAGAGACAGCAGCCAGGTAACTATGTTGGCATAATTGTTTGACACGACCCCCCGAATTTTTCAGAATCTGTGACGAATTCTGTGATTTTTCTAACATTATATTGATGCCGGGCCCACTTATTAACAATATCTTTCTTTTCAAATAAAAGAAAAGATGCTCGAGACTTTTTATCGAAATTTCGACAGTCTCTCTTGAAAAACAGATTTTTTTCCCAAAAATTTTAACTTGTCAAAACACAATAAATATTCCCAACCAGCAGCATGCACAATACAATAGCACACAGTTTACAGAATAGGCTTTTGGCCTTACATCCAACCCTAACATAGGCGATAACAGAGCAATTCTAAAGAAATTCAGTTTACAAACGCAACAAGGGAAGGTAGAAGACCAGTAGGGAAGTGATTTTTTCAGTGACACTAATTATTAACAAATCACTCATATTATTAACACCTATATTTTATTTATTTATTAATACTATACAATAAATATAAATCCGTGAGTGTTCTAATTAATACCACACATTAGGACTTCAATAAGTTACAGATTGGAGTCCTCTATAGCCTCTCCTGACTTTTCGGTGGCTCGGAACATAAATTAAAATGAGGTCTTTCTCTTTTATACTAAAAAATAATTATTGTAATATTTAAATTTAATTAAGAATTTTGACCTATAAATAAATAAATTATGCAAAGAAACCCAATTCAAATATTTGAAACAATAATAAAAAGAAAACAAATAAAATTTTTATTTTTTTATTTTTTTTTGGCTTCTCAAGATTAATCTTAGTTGCTTCCTAGCCTTGCCCCAAGACTACTACAATTTTATTTTATTTTATGGAGCTAAGGAGCTAAGCTCACTCTATATAATTCTAGGTTTTTCATGGACCAAGTAAAACAATAATTAAAAAATATATATGTATAATTTTTTGTATATTAGACTTTTGACTTCAAACTGAAAAATATAATTTAACAAGGTAAAAATTGCTTGCGATAAAAAAAAAGCAACACATCATGAATTATTAAACTTGTTTCAATATCAAAAGAATATCAGACATTTGTAAATTATTATAGTTTGATTTTCCAAATGCAATATCAAAATAATTCTTGTAAAATTTAATTTTAATTATAAAATAAAAAAATTGACCTAAAAAAATAAATAAAAAAAAAAAAAAAAAAAAAAAAAAAAAAAAAAAACAAACCAACCCAGCAATAATAAAAAGACAACAAATAAATTTATGATATTTTTTAAAGAGAGGTGTTGGACTCGCATGTTCTATTTAGCGAACGTGCTATTTAGTGAACTACTTTTTAGGCTTAGTATATTAGAGGAGCGAGTGAGGTGTTTTCTTCACTGTTGGACTATAGCCTCATTTAAGTTAGTCTCTTCTATTACCAAACATGGATTTCTAGTGCTATCTAACTCAGTCCAGTTCAGTAAGGCGCACCAAACATGGCCATGTAGAGCATATATGAATTTTGAGGCCCCCAAATTTGGGGCCCATGACTATCGCCCTTGGGGCAGGCCTAACTCACATGACCTCCTTTTAATCCATCTTACCTTCAGGCCCTGTGCAAACTTTCCATTCCTTCCATGTGACCACTTACAAATAATACAAGAGCGTTTTAGATCATTTCTTTTTTTCTTTTTTCTTTTTTTCTTCTTTTTTTTTCTTTCGATTTAAATTAAAGACTTAAACTATGAAGCGTGCCAACCCGTGAACATTTAGATAAGAGCTAGTTTTGGAAGCAGAGCCAGTCCAAAATAATATATCATTCATAATTCATTATTTTAGTTTCAAATTTAGCCTTACATAATATGATTAGCTAAACCCTAATTCTCATTAGGTGGTAAGAAGGTATTCGTGGCGCATCTGTCTGAGCAAGAATCTACACAGCCGCCCACTTTCTCAGTATCTGCACGCGAAAGATAACTCATGTTATTTGGCCCAAAAAATAAAATAAAAACTCATGTTAAAAGAAGCAAACAAATTAGGTCAAATTACAATTTTGACCCATGCAATTTATTTTGTTTTTAATTAAGGTCAAATTGGTAACTTCGTTTTATGGTTTGATGACGTATGTTAGGTCTTCTTTCTTTTTCTTTTTTTTTTGCCACGTCATCAAACTGTCCAAAGAATAGGTAGACATATGACCTTACTGCTGCCTAATTAATGTAAAACATTAGAGATGTGGTTGTAATTGTTTGAACCAAAGTGTAAACTCTTCCAACTTATATGAAAGAAAGGGGGCATTAGAATTCTCATTCTTTAATACGATAGGTTTTTTTTTTAATTTTTTTTTTCACTAAGCTCATATATTAGATTAGATTTTGATTTTCATTAATAGGTATACGATTATAATTATACACGTAGATAGATGCAACGTGCATACGAATGCATATATATGAATGTATAATCTACTTAATTAATGAAAGACCAAAATCAAAATCAAATCTAACTTCAGGGGTTGATAACTAAATCATTTTATTCGATTTTGACCTAAATGGAGGATGATTTGGGCTTGAAAATTATTTGTACCTGGGTTTTCTTGATCCAATAAACTGGCACACAAGGAAGAAGCACATCCAAGCTTGCAGAAGTAGTGATCGTTTTTGGGGACGCTATGTAAAGAAGGACTGTCGAATGCACATTCAGCTATGCATATAACGCCACATGCGGCAAGCCCAAAAAGACCTTTGCTTTTCTTACATTTATCCACGCAATTGCCGTAGCATCCTGGATTTTCAATAGCACTGCTCTGCGCCACCAGAAACCCTAACACCAAGTAACCCATCACTAAACACATAACTCTATTCTCCATTTTCTAACAAAGTTTTCTTAAGCCTCTCTTTCTCTCTCTCTCTCTCTCTAGCTTTGCACAATAAAATCTATCAGAAAAATTATTCAAAACCTAGATAGCATGAGGATGCACTTCTTTACCCCTATTTATACAATTTGAGTTTTATATATATATATATATATATATATATTTGTGAGGTCTTGCTAATATAGAGTACAATTCCACATGCGTTGTTAGAGTTCGACTCTCGTCTTGCCTCTCTCTAGACTTTAAGTCTTCTTTCTCGAAAAGGAAGAAGAAGGAGTAGAGGAGTTCAGTTAAACACAAACATAAGAGGATGGTGTTAGTGTACGTGTATGGGATCATAATAAGTGAATGGTGTACATGTGGTTTGTTATGTTGGCTTATAAGTCAATGAGTGCGCTTGATTTGATAAGGCAATAATACGTGTGATTTTAGTGAGAAAAAAGAAAATATCAAATAAATTAGGACTAAGAAAAGAGTACTTCTCAGGATTGTCATACCATGCAAATATGATAACACGGTGAGTTCAGCAAATTTTGTTTATTTTACTAATAAGAGAAGAGTTATTTAAAATTATTATTATTTTATTGGAAAGAGAAAAATCACTAAATAAAAAATAATTAGTGTAAGTCTAGCCAATAATTCAATGAACAATATATTTGTACATATTCGAAAATTTTTCCTCTATTGTTACACATACCGGTGTATGGAAAATATGGTTTGTGTTTGTATAAAATTTTAATGTCTCATCCGGTTATCATCGTAAGAATAGAAAGAAAAGAGAGAAAAAAGATTGAGAAAATTTTTGTCTTTATTTTTTCTATTAGTTTGTTGAATGAGTAGCACAAGTGTTGTTACAAATGTACTTATTTATATATATACTTGATGATAAAACAAAATGTACTTATATATTTAACTTCTGCCCTAAGATAGCAGACTGAGTCTTAACAAGGCTGCTTAACAATCTAACCAATCTTTGGTGACATGCAATCTTGACCAGTGTTGTCTACACATTTTCTGTGTGTTTTTTTTTATAATTAATTTGGGAGGAAGATTGCTTTTGCATCAATTAACATATGCTCTAGTCTCAAGTTTTTTTTAGTTTTTTTATTATTATTTATAATTCGGAAACTGAAATTACAAAATTAAACCCCTAGCACAAGAAAATTCAATACCTTATAGGATTTAAGACAAACTATCCCATATATACATTTTCATCTGTGCATAAAGTACGATTGCATACTCTTAGTTCAACTGTCTTTTTAACTTTTTAATAAGGTCATGCCTAATTTTACCACTTTTACGGGAATTAATGTTATTAATGCAAATTATTTTCTGAACTATAACGTGTTCAAATGGAGAATTTTTTTGGTTTGACCGTCAAATCGCTACGTGATATTATTAATCCATTTATATTATTGTATATGTATTTATTTATTGATACTAGACCTTTATCTGTGAAATATCAATCATTTCTACCTATAGTTTTTTCTACAATTCACTCCATCAAGATGTTAGTTTAGTCGCTCAACCACAAATTGCACGAGTAACACATAAGATTGTTATTTTTTATTTCTAACTCAGCCTTACATCATATGGGCAGACTTCATACATTTGTGAAAGTATATATATAATTAAGAAACCAAATCCTTCTTAGTTATGTGGTAACAAGGTACTACTTATGCTGCATTTCTCTGAGCAAGAATCCACACAGTCGCCCACTTCCCCCATCTCTGCGTGCAAAAGAGAACTCAAGTTAAAAGAAGTTAAATCCATAAAAGTAATAAAAATACTAAAAAAGAGTGGCTAGCTACCTGGGTTTTCTGTATTGATCAAACTGGCACACATGGAAGAAGCACATCCAAGCTTACAAAAGTAGTGATCGTCTTTGGGTACACTGAGTAAAGAAGGGCTGCTGGCCAAGCATTGTGCTATGCACGTGCCGGCGCACGTGATGGTGCCAAACACGCTACCTTTGACACACTTAGGGAGGCAGCTGGCGTAGCAGTCAGGATTGTCGACAGCAGTGGACCGCCCTATCAACGTGACCAACACCACCAAGGAAGCCATGGCTGCTCCCATATTCACTCCCTTCTTCTCCATTTTTTTTAGTTTAACCCTAGATCTCTATGCTCAACACAAGTAATAAGAAGAAGAAGAAGATGTCACAAATAATATAATTCAAACCTAAATAGCAGCTCTCTAGGCTCTGGCTAGCTATAGAACTCCTATTTATAGAGATTGGGTTTTTTTATTTTTTTTAAAATTTAGTTTTAGTTGAATAATGCGTAAGCCTTCGTATACGTATGTAAGCCCACATGCATTGTTATACATCTAGTGGTAATAGTACACAAGTGATCTGTACATGTAACATGTGGATTGTCGAAGATTAACCGTGACTCAGACATAAGTGAATGATGTGCATGGGATGGTAAGTCAATGGGTGTGCCCCTCCCCAAATTAGATAGGCCATACTGAGCAAGCTTTAATTTAGTATACATAAATACGGGACAGAAAAAGTACGTGTGTTTTAGTCAAATAGTGATCATGATAAACTACAAGGACGTACGAGGAGAAGAGAAAGGCTTTGAGAGCCCATTTAATTCGCATGTTAAAAGCTTGAGAATGAAGGATTCGAGCATCCAACTCAAAATTAATTGACAATAAGTACGGAGCCTAAAAGTTTGAAACTCTTACTCATGAAGGAGAAACCTCAAACTCTTGGGTGGACCCTGGGTATGCAATTTTCCTGTCTTTGGAATGCACTAGTTGCACTATTTAATGACTACATCATCCTAATTACAACATAAAAATACCTCTTTTTATCTTAAAAATCTTGCCATTTCTTTATGATGGGTGGTGGGTCTAGCCATCCAAAGAAAAACATTTGGGCCCCGTTTGGTTCACGAAATGAATTTGAGGGAAAATCACTTCCCGTGTCATTTCCCAAGGAATTAGAATGAAAGATTCTTTTCCCGCGTTTGATAATGTTGGGAAAGTAACCGGGAGATTTCACTTTGTTTCCTTTTTTATGTTTGTTTTGAGTATGAATGGAAAATAAAGTTTGTATAATTTTCCAATTATACCCATATTAAATCAAATAAAAAAAATGCATTTAATGATACGTTGTAATTATAAATTGTTCATAGGGACAAAATAGTCATGAAAATTATGCATTGAATGTTGGCTCATTTTCCCAAATTTTCCCATGATGAGGGAAAACAAAACCCAAGTTAAGAGGAAGGCTTCACTTCCCCCCCCCCTTCCTCCTCTAATTTCCTATGTGCCAGACAACCATTTCTCATGCCTGGACTTACTAAACATGGGAAAACAATTGAATTCTCATTCCCAAACCTCCTTTCCTATGAACCAAACGGGGCCTTGGACAAATTCAAAATTCTGTTTCTCAAGGATTTGTCATACCAGATGATGACGTGGTATGCCATAGAGCTACACAGTTTTTTTGGCACGATGAGGTGGTATGACAAGGGCCTAAACAATTTTTTTTCCCACAATATTGGGCTTAATTGGTTCAAGGATTGTATTATGAATCCGTTGTTCTTTCACCCACACAAAATTCAAGACAATAGAATTGCAAACACACTATAACAATCCATATGAGAGTAATATTTATCTTCCATATATTTTTATTTTAAAATTAGCTTACATATATCTTGGCAGAAACTTCACTCTTTTGTGAAAGTATATATAACATCATAATTAATTAACCAAATCCCCCCTAATCCTTGTTCTAATTAGGTGGTAAGGTATTCATCATGGTGCATTTCTCTGAGCAAGACTCGGCACAGCCACCCACTTTCGCAATCTCTGCACGCAAAAGAGAACTCAGATGAATTGAAAGAAAGTTAAATAAATCTGTGCAAAAGAGACTAGTGGAGGGCTTGAAACCCTAGAAGTACCATATACCTGGGTTTTCTCTAGTGATGAAACTGGCACACAAGGAAGAAGCACAACCAAGCTTGCAGAAGTAGTGATTGTCTTTTGGGACACTGCGTAATGAAGGACTTGCCGACATGCAGTTTGCGGCGCAAAAACCGCTGCATATAACGGTCGCCAATGGGCCACCGTAGAGACAAGTGAGGCATTGGGCATAACACAGTGGATTCTCAATAGCTCTAGTACTGTTGGACTGCCCCAACACCAAGAAAGCGATGATCGCTAAAGACATCACTCCCTTCTTATCCATTTTTTGTCTCTGGCTCACAACACAAGATATATCACAACCAATCAAACCTAAAATTTCCGTCCCTATTTATAAAGACTCGGTATGTTGAAGTATTTCAGGACTATTAAGGTAGTTTTATTGATTTCTTATGGACTTGAAAAAAATAGTCCCTTTCATTTTGAGGGACACTCTTGTAGGGTCATTCGTATTGTATTTCGATCATTCGAACCGTCTTTTTTTCAAGTATCCTTTCAATGTTCATCTCTACAAAAAATCACTAGAATTCCATTTGACCACTCAATCATGAGCAAAACTACATACAAGACTACACTGGGCTACAACCCAGGTAGCTTTTTGAAGAAATTTTTTAGCTCATGTAAGGTTTTTGAAGAAAAATAAAATTAAACCTATTTAGCCCATTAACTTGCAGTTTCCACTTGTGGTTGGGGACCTCGTTTTGTGGTCTTCTTGGTATTTTCCCTTTCTTATATGATATATATATTTTTTTATATATATCAAAAAAGAAAAAAAAAAAAAAAAAAAGGTAAAAAAAATAAAAAAATAATAATAGGGAAATATTATTTTTCTTAAGTCTATTTTTGTGGTTATTTGGTGGTTTTCTCCTTTGTTTTTGTGTTAACCTTTTGTTGCATTTAATTTGTATTAGTTATATGCTAAATTTATTGGAAATTAGTTCATAGGGCTATGAACTAGCGTGGGTTTACATAATTTAATGTGTACTTTTATTTCTAGAAAATATATAGAAATTGTAAGTTAAAAATTATCATTAGATTTTAAGCTAAAAAGTTTAGCTAGCCCACCTGTCGAAAAATTCCTGGTTATGCTCTTACACTCAATATTAAATGGTTGTTATTTTATATTGTTTTCTTGAAGCATTGTGTTTGTATATTTTGTTGGTCACAACTAGATGTCTTAACAACTTTCAATTTGTCTTATTTTTTGCAGAGATGATCTATGAATGAATACTCGAAAAATAGATGGAATCATCTAAATAAACGTCTGAAGAGTTATGACCTTTAAGATGTTTGAATCTTCAAGGATTGGGATAACTCAGTTTGGAGCCCTGGTTTCAGTCTCTCTTCCTGCAGGTTTGTATTCAGTTTTCGCCTTCTTCTTCTTTAGGTCATGCAAAGAGTATCGTGGGTTGCCCAAGATTGATCGACATACGAAAAAAAATCCAATGCTTTCTCTTAGATGTGCTCCTGATTTGATAGGCAAAAGTACTCAGTAAAGGTTTTGGTGCACATGTTGGTTGCGGAAGATTTATTCCTACTCCCACACCACAAGTGCATGGTCTTTTTTCTTTTTTCTTTTCTTTTCTTTTGGGTATGGCTGTGTTAGTCAAGAAGGCTAATTGTATCATAAGTAATTGGAGGGACTGTATGTACCTCAAGAATTAATAGGCCACTCTAAAACAGTCATATGAATTATGGGGTTCAATTCTGTTGAAAGTATCATCCTCGTATTCATGTGAATTGAATTTTAAGTCTTTCTTCAATTAAGTGAAGACAACTACCACCCAGTGAGAGACATACGAGAAATATCCCAAAAATGGCCTCAACTAATTCATAAAAGATAGGCTAAAAGCCTAAAACTAAAAAGTAGAAACAAATTTAAATATTTTCTCACTTTTAGCTTTTATGTATTTATGTATTTTCCTTCACTTTTTATCTTTTTCAAGTAAAAAAGAAAAAAAAATATTCAAAACACAGCTACTTCATTTTAAAGCCACAAATACATAAAACAATAGTCTATTAAAATAAAAATAAAAACAAGAGTCTACGTCCAACAAAAATCATTTATAGATACCGATATATAAATAAATAAAAATTTAAAAACCTATTGTCATGTTGTGAGAACGCGTCAATTACATATATGTTAAATTTGAATTGTATGGTGGTAAGAGATCCATCGTAGTATCTTCGTTGTTTTTTTTTTCTGTGTTTTTTTTTTTTTTTTTTTTTTTAAAACACATGTTACTGCCTTGTTTGGCCTCTGCACAACAACAGCACAATCACACCGGAAGGCAGAAAGGGCTATGCCTATGGTAGAGGCAGTGAGCCAAACAATCCACAAGACACCATTCTGTCATCGAAATTCTTCCACGTTTTTGACATTGCAAGAAACACCTCGTCACAGCAATCACTACTGTGATCATCAAGATATGGAATTAGACGGTGATGATGAGATGGTTGAGACATTTGGGGCCTCCCAGTAACGAAAACCAAAATAAGAAAAAATATTGACACCACAAGAATTCTCCTGGATTTAAAAGAAGAAGAAAAAAAACACTAACTAAAATTGACCAATTGTGATTGCACTGGCACCGCCTTATTCCCCAGAGCGAGCAAAAGACCAGTGCGGAAGAATTGCCGAGCAAATCTCCTTTGGCATAAAGCACACTACAAGAATAATGCAAGGCTTTGCTCACTGAGGCTCGGCCGGAAGCATTTATAATTATAAGTGGCCACATGCCAGAGGAAACTTTGCCCTGTAATTGATCTAACTGCACAACCAAAGTTGAAAGTTGCAGAGAGATGCACCGGAGAGACCGTTATTTATGCTAACCCGGAGGAAGCATATCTAAGGAACAATGCTTTCGTTTGTGTAACTTTATCCACAAATCCTGTCCCACTTTTTCATGGTACAAAAACTTTAGCCGTACAGACTTCTTCATGGAGCTGATTTTAAAAAAATGTGACTGTAATTAATCAACTTCTCAGTGCTAATCAGTACCATAACTGAGAAATTAATTCTCTAATTCGTTGTTGACTCGGGTTCTTGCTTAATTACATCAACTAATGAGTCACTGTGGTTTAACAAACATGCAGTTTTAGTAGCTTGCTAGGACGTGAAACAATATAAGCCAGTCATTGTTGAAAATCTTGAGAAGAAAATATGGAAAGCATTATAAATATAAAAGAAGGAAGATTCAGAGCATGTTCTCAATCTATCTTTTTCTTCTACTTGGTAATGTCACCTTCATTGCTTTCAGGACCAGCCAAATGGACCTAACAAAAGTTGATTTTGTTCGAGAAAACACTCGAGGCTGCAATCATGAATTCAACTCATGTGATGGATACACACACACACACACGTATATATAGTTCTATTATTTATTTGAAGCAACATACTGATTCTTTTATTTTTATTTTCCATAAAATTATATTATGATCACCAAGATCACACTCTTGGGAATTCAGACGATTACCCCAAAACCTTTATTTTGACAGTTGCATCTAAATTTCAGGACAAATCTATTAGCTAGGAAGTTCAGACTCCTCAACGTGTACGAGTTTTTAGGGTTTTATGTGGTTTTGGCAGAAACATGTCATGATTTTAGAAAGCTGCAGCAGGATATCCCCTAGAACTCAAGTATATCCTTTAATACTGTTAAAATTAATGCGCACTTGTGTCTTGAATAATATAGAATAATCTAGAAAAATTGAGAGAAGTTGACAAGTTAAAGTCGGCTTTACACTAGAAACATCCTACTAATTATATAATGTATTGTAACTAGATAACTCTAGATTTATAGGACAACTAGTGGCTGAAAACACTTTAGAAAGTCGGTTACTGTGCAACAACCGACTTGACTAGTTATTTGCCAACTTAGAGAGTTGGTTTAGCAACTCTATAAATATGCAAGCAGCCCACTTATGTAATCAAGCAAGAAAAGCTGAAAACTACAAGCTGCCCTGTATCCAAACTAAGTCTCTAAAGCTTTGTAACTTTCATCCTCCATTCAAATAAAATTACCTCGTTACTCTTTCAAAAAGTTTTCTATTCCACATCAAGCTATTGTCCTAAACCCTAAACTGCCAACCATTCTCTAAACCTCTTCTCCCTTAAACTAACAAAGACAAAACCTTGTGGGGAATAAAATTAAAGACTGTCTTTAATTTGACTCCCTTTTAACCAATTCCTTGTGTGACATTTACACCAAAACACTAAATATGAATTGGACATCCAATATATATATGCATGTCAGAACTAATATATATTCTTAATTGTTTTATTTTCAACTCTCATAATATTCTATTCGAATCGAAACCCAATCTCTGTTAGCTGAGCTTCTTTTCTGAGGGAAGAAATTAAGTAGAGGGAGGATCTGCAAAAGTAGAAAATTATATCATATTATATGCGGAAGTTTGAGACTCTCATTGACAATTGTTTGTTCTTTTTGCATCCCATTATTTCAACATATGCATTTTTGTTGTCGCTGAATAGTACCCAATTGCCACAAGTCCAATGGACTGAGCCCTGGTTTCAGTCTCTCTTCCCGCAGATTTGCATTCAGTTTTCGCCTTCTCCTCCTTCTTTAGGTCATGCAAAGAGTATCGTGGGTTGCCCAAGATTGATCGACATACGAACAAATCCAATGCTTAGTCCTAGATGTGCTCCTGATTTGATGGGCAAAAGTACTGGGTAAAGGTTTTAGTGCATATGTTGGTTGCGGAAGATTTATTCCAACTCCCACACCACAAGTGCATGGTATTTTTTTCTTTTTTTCTTTTTTTATTTTCTTTTATTTTGGGTATGGCAGTGTTAGTCACGAAGGCTAATTGTATCATAAGTAATTGAAGGGACTGTATGTATTATGTACCTCAAGAATTAATAGGCCACTCTAAACAGTCGTATGAATTATGGGGCTCAATTCTGTTGTCACAATATACTAGAATATTGTGCGTTTCCGAAACTAGAATATTAGAACTATCGATCAAGTATAAACTAATGCAACTAGGAGAGCACCTTTTTCTCATTTTATTTCATATAGCCGTGCGGCTATACCTTTTAAATAAACTATATTTACACAGTAGATCCGAGTGGCTATGGACACGTGGGTCGCCTTTTTTTGTCGGATATTTTTCAAACAGTATAGCCGGGCGGCTATACTCGGGTATTTCTTTATTTTTACAAAATAGTATAGCCGCGCAGCGTTACTATGATAATTTTTCTTTTAAAAAAAATAGTACATACTTGTTTTGACACGTGCCCAATCGCAAGGCGGGTCCTCTTTTTTTTCCCTGTAAACCGTATAGCCGCGCGGCTATACCTGTCAGAGGTAAAATTTTAAACTTCGGGGAGAGAGAATAAGGTTAAACATCTGGAATTTTCCTCTACAGCCAATGCCCATGCTCTATGTCTATAGGTATTAAAGAGATTGTGAGAAGGATGGTGTTCAATGTCACTTCATGTGAAGTATCCAAAATCAGAAGTTTTGAGCCCTTATGAGAAGAAGCTGAAAAAACTAAGGTAAATATTGACATTTATTCCAACCAATATGACATTAGAAATTTTTTTTTTCTGATACAAAAGTGATAGTATTTTATTGACGAGTAGGAATGATAAAAATACAAAAACCGAACTAAATCCTACAAGATTAGGCGAGCATCTCTACACCAATATGAAATATGACATAGAGCATGACACAACCGAATCCATCTATGAAATATGATTATCGTTAATTTTTTAAAAAGAAAAATTTAATGTTAAAAAAAATTAAAAGAGAAAATATATATGTGTATAATTTGGATCCAGATATGAAAATGGCAGAAGCTGTGGAGAGTACCTACCAAACGTAAGTGAATCCACATGTGACAGAATCTAACTTCACACTAATCCGTTTAGTTTCGGAATTGCCCCTCACGTCTGAGTCTCTGACGTCTCACTTCTCTCTTGAAAACTCCCGAATTTCCCAAAATACCCCTGAGCAACTAATTCATTGTCTCAGATATTTCCGTAATTATTTTGCTCATCGAAATCTTTAACTCCTCCCCAAGTCTTTCCTCTTTCAATTTCTGACGGCATCATCCAAAATCCCCAAAATCTCTCTCTAGGGTTTTCACGAGTAATATCCCTATCCCAAATAAAAGCCCTAGTTTATGTTCAATTTGAGCTCCTAGGGTTTCAGCTTTGCCAGAATGTACATATTTGGCGTTTGATTCCCGCGAATTTTTGGGTTTTACGGGTTTCGATTGAGGGCTTTTGTCTTTATTTGGTCGAATTCGTGTTTAGCTTTGGAGCAAGTTTGGGTTTTATCTGAGTGAAGTTTTTTGTGTGGTTGGTGTTTTGTTTTTGTAGGGAAGTTTGATTTTTTTTTTTAAAGGGCTTTTTGAGATTTTATTGGATTGCAGAAGCTTGGGGATTTAGGGTTTTTGTTGTGTTGGAGTTGAATTGATGGCTTCGGTGGGTGAGGAAGATGTGGACTATGAGAGTGATCCAGAGGAAGCAAAGCGATCTCTGGCGATGCGGAGGAGGGCAGCGGCGAGCGATGATGAGGAAGGTGAAGGAGAGGTGAGAGAGAAGCCGGGGGAGGATCCGAGGGCTGGGATTCACTCCGATGAATCGGACGACCAGGGTGGGGCTGCTGAGTACGATGATGACGAAGAAGAATTAGGCCTAGAAGAGGAAGAGGAGATTGATGAAGAAGAACAGGGTGAAGATGAAGTTTTGGAACAGGAGGACTTGGAAGGCGATCAGGAGAGAGGCCGGGAAGGTGAGACGGGTGGCAGGATTGAGGTTTTGGCGGTGAAGGAATCGGACGGTGATGGGCGGAGGTCTGTGGAAGAGTCCGTCGATGAGAATGCAGAAACTCAAGCGGCAGAAGAGGAGGAGAAGAAGGAGAACGAGCCATTTGCAGTGCCCACAGCTGGGGCTTTTTATATGCATGATGACCGCTTCAGGGACAATGCTGTTGGTCGGCACAGGTATGGTTTATGTTTTTTGGTCGTAGTTTCCGTCCATATGAATGTAGTTGTAGTTTGGCAGATGGGAGTTGTAGGAATATATGGAAGTAAACTTGTGCAGCTGTGCTAGTGGTTTCCCTCAGGATTCATTTTATGCCACTTACCCATTTGGCTACTTTTTCTTATGCTCATATGAATTGTTTTATGTTAATTAATGTTAGTTTATTCGAGCTGTAGTATTGGATAGGCCAAAGTGATAGTTACGCACATATATGTTGTGTGTTTTTAACTCTGATGATTTTTGGTTTTTTTTCTTAATATAAAAATTGAACTATGGGACGGGTTAGCGGAATATTTGCTCAGATTTAGTTGTCCTTAAACTTCGTCTGTGCTTGCATTCGATGGATGTGGGCAACAAAGTGTCATCCCTACTCTTGTTGGGCTGTAAATTTTGTAACTAGAAAATGTTTTTGTCCCATTTCAATAAGATATGATGCCTAAAATCAGTGGCTGGTCTGTTGCAAGTTAGCGTTAATCACTTTGAATCTGCTCTTGGTCTATCCATTCTTTTACTGTGCATGATATGCCTAGTTATATTGTCTCACGTGGCAACATTATATTAACTCCACAATTGCTCACAACTTATAGCGGTTAGTCCTGCTGTTGGACGGGCTGAGATGAGTGCCACTAGAAGCGTAGGTCTTGTTTGGGGCCACCTCCCTTTGTTTGGCCCAGCCATTGCAATTGGATTGTCTACACATGCTCCTCCGGATTAGTCGGGTTGTAGACTGGGATAACCAAAAGAGAAAAATACCACAATTTCTCACCACCACTGCTGTGTCATACACTAGTTTATCATTTTTACTTCATACTGTACATACTATTATTATTAAAATTGAAGAAGTTTTTGTGCATCAGTTTCTAATCTGTGTAAGATTAAAATGAAATGAAAATCTGGATGGACAGAATTGCTTTTTCCTTGTGGTATCCCATCGAGCTACCAATGCCAACTATAGTATTTTAGTTTTAACCTTTTAATTAAAATTTTCCAGTTTTGAGTTGCCTGCCATTCTTTTTTGTTTTGTTTTTTTGGGTCTAGTTATGGTGTGTATCAATGCAATAATTTGATATTTTTTTCTCTTAATAGACGAACACATGGTGGAAGGAAGTTGTGGGAGTCCAAAGATGAAAGGAAATGGGGGCATGATAAGTTTGAGGAGATAACTTTGCATGAAAGGCACAACGAAGAGGTAATGGTTGTATAGATGGTCATTCTGCATAATATTCTGTACGAAATATCTTTATCCATCTTTGACCTGACTTTCTGATGTACACCTCAGGGAAAGAAACCTTCTAAGGGTCCTCATGTAGGTCGTGGAAGAAACCGAGGTGTTGATCGTGGGTTTAACAGAGGCAACAGGTCTAAAGAATTTGACAATAATAATCAGAGACAGGTACCCAAGGGTGTGAGAGGGAGAGGGCCCAGAAGGTATGAACCTGCTTTCAGGAATAACAGACAGACACCCCCAACACAAAACAAACAGTGAGTACAAGTTGTTTTCATGGCACTAATCATGTCTGCATCCAATTCATGATTTGTTTGTAATCATCTGTCACATTGTTCTTATTTTCAGATCTGGAAAGCCTGTTGAGAAAAACATGCAGACAAATTCAGAACGAACATTTATTTCCACATCAAATGCAGAATCTGACCCTGTTCCTGCTAGGAAAAATGTCTTTGCATCAAGCTTGAATTACTTTTCTCCTCCTTTTTACCCATCAGGCTCTTCCAGTAACAATAAAGACATCTCTCTGACCCAAAAACGGGATGTACAGGCTGGGAGTGGTAGGAGGAATGTTCGGTCATCTGTAGTGCAGGACAGTTTCCATGTTCCACAAACCAATCCGCTGCTGCGAGGGAAGAATATAGCTGAATCTGTTGGTGTGAACAAGCTTTATATTGATGACTCCGTCAATCCAGCTGGGAAGACGTTGACCAACTTACAAATGCCATCTTCTGGGTCATCATTTGCCAATACTACTCAAGCTCCTCAGTCCAGGGTTCATGGAAGGAGTGTTATCCCAGGACAGATGAGCTATCAACCTGCCGTGTCTCAAAATCAAATGACAAGAGCTTCTCAGTCAACAACGCATCACCATGCAGTTCATCGCAATCCTGTTCCAAGTCGATCTCAATTGGCTGTACAAGCTTCTGCTCAGCAGTTGGGACAGCGTCCTGGAAGTGGATCTGGAACTTCCTCTCCACCCAAAACAACTATGTCACCAAACTCCTTCGAATCTGGAGAAGTTGAATCACCTTCAGATTCAAGTAAATCTAAAGGTGCCCTGATTGCAAAGGGAAAAGGCAGTGTTCAAGGTAGTGGAAGGAGCACTCTTACTTATGGTGGAGCTCAGGTTATGGGATCCGCTCATGGAGATCAGAACTTTCCTGCAACTCCAGCCTTTTTGCCTGGTATTTTTATTGCATTGCCTTTTCTGTTCTCAATTTCTATGAAATCATATATTTATGGACCCTTAATTGTTGAAATTTAAGTGTAAATTTTAGGGGAAAAAACATATTGCTAAGCTAATCGTTAATATTTTCCCCGTGGTGTATTACACCACAATTATAGGCTTTGACAACCACTGCTTTTCTGAACTGTTTATTGATGGGGACTGTCATTAGCTAGAATATGCAGACTACATGATATTGCATATTAGCTTGGTTCTTTTTCTAATATTTAAGCATTGAGTAGAATATAATTTGAGATTGCATCTGGTTGGATGATTGTGCAGTTATGCAATTTGGGGGACAGCATCCTGGGGGTATGGGAGTTCCTGCTGTTGGCATGGCATTCCCTGGATACGTTGCTCAGCCACAACTTGGTTTAGGAAATCCTGAAATGACATGGTATGGTAATTATTTTAATATGCCAGTATAGGTTCTTTATTTGGCATCGTCTTCTTTTAGATCTTCTTGTTTATGGGAAGTCTGTGTCTAGCTCACATAGTGGTTGGAAACTTTGCATGAGGAATTATTGTCTACTGTAAAGGGAATTAGATTAAATATCTTTCCTGTTGTATTTCATTCCTGCAAGGATTTGCATTGTTTAAAGGAACTACTCATATCCGTCCTGCTAAAATATCTGCAAGCTCTTTATTACCCAAATGTTAGGAGGATGGAGTTCCATGCCATGTCTTTTCTCTTCTAATGGGTTTTTTTTTTTTTTTTTTTTTTCTTTTTTTACTGTGGTGGTAATTACTTTAATCTTTTTAGGTTGCCTGTGTTGGCGGGTGCTGCAGGAGCTATGGGGGCAACATATTGTCCACCCTATATCTCTGTTGATGGTTCTTATCATTCTCGCCCTTCGGGACAAACATCTTCTGTGGGTTCCTTAAGGTTGGTAGTATGGTCGTCTCTTTGACTATTTATGATTCTGAGATAATGTTCTATCCTGTATCATAACCTGCTTATTGTCACGTTAAGCTTAGCTTGTTAAATTTTTCACTTTCAATATGATGTGTTGTCTTTTTTCTTGCTTTGTTTAAGAATTGTCTTTTTTGTATTTATATATTTATTCATTCATTTAAACTTCCCTTGTTCAAGTTGAAATAATTGTTTAAGGGGTTCTTTTTACTTCCACATGGTCGGGAGATCTTATTTTTTATTTATTTCTTAAAGAAAATATCCTTATGTACCTTTCTAAATTTTTGTGTGTTGTTTTTCAGCAAAGAGAATAATGCAAATAAAACCAATAACGAATGGAAGCCTTCACAAAAGCCTGGTATGACATTACCTTATCTTTAGTTTTGCTTCTCACCTTTGTTATTACTCTTGGCCCCTTGGGTTGGCTGTTAAATACTCTATTATTTTTACAGTGTGGTAGACTAACATAAGGTTTTTCCTGTACAGAAATTGTGGGCGATGAGTATGGGCAGCGACAAAATAAGCCTCGTAGGCAAGTCACTATGATGTTATCAAGAACAAATTTTTTTCCTTTCCAGAATTGCTCCCTCCTGATCCAGTGTTGGGTTAGAGTGGTGGGGTTCATGCTATGTATTTCTGCCTTTTGTTGTGATTTGAATTTATTTTCTTTTGATACTTGCAGGTATTCACAGATGAATGTGGCCAGTGAAGTACTTCAAAATAATACGGAGCTTGTTTGAATAAGTTGATAAAGGTTCTATCTTTGCCCGAATTTAACTTTTCTGCTATTTCGGGTGTGACAAAGTTATAAGTTGTGATCATATGGTGCTGCAGGCCTTCGTCTAAGCCCTTTGTGATCTTCAGCCTATGTTATGGAGCACTTTGGGCCGATGCGTTCAAAGATATCTTAGGTACTCAGTCTTGGTATTTGGTTTTCTATGGTTTTTACTGTTTGGCAAATCAAACTGATAATTTTATATGGAGAAGACTTTGCCATGCTTTATTTTTTTGACCGGTGTTCGCATCTGAAATGAGCAAACTGTATATTATGCCCAAATTTCTTCCAAAAGTAATGACATTTTATTTATTTTAAAAAAAAGGGAGATTTCATAACGGATTGCCTCCCTCCTTTCATCTGGGCAATTTTTGAGGTGATCATTTGCATCTGCAGAAGAAGAATTAGATTTCATGTATGTGTAGTGTTGAAGAATCACACAATCCAACCACCATTGTGTTTTTCTTTTTATCTGTACTTGGACAATCTGAAAACTAAAATTCCTATTTTTCTTTTAGTCATTTTTTACTGCAAATATTAATTCAGTTGTATGCTTATCTGTCTCTCTACGCTGTTTCCCTTACCCCCTCACTTTGTTTTTGCAGTTATGAATGACAAACACCTGCTCATGCTGCACTCACTTTAAGATCAATATTGTGGCTTGACGGGTGGCAGTTCCTTGTTTAAATGTTCGGTAGGAATTTGTTTTAGAGAAAGAAACTTTAACATCTTTTTGTCCTTGCGAATTGGCATTGACGATTGTTGCAACTTTGCTGTTTTCAGGTTTTCTTGTGGTTTGCTTCTTCATTGAAAAGCTTGTGAGAAACGTAGACGGGCTTCCTCATAAACTACTAGATAAAGAAAATTGAAAAAAAAAAAAGTACAAGACTTATTGTGCAGCGGCAGTGTTTCTCGGTGGGGTTTCTAGAAGTGTTCTTTTATTTCTATACATGGTATTTTTTATATTTACATTGTTAAGTTGACCTTGGTAGTTTTTCCCGGCTTTGAGGGGTACTTTCCTCTTGTATTGGGCTTTCCTTTGTTTAGTTGAGGAACTGCAACCTTCATGAATATTGAAAGCTAGAGTTTTCTCTTGATCATTGAACTACCAATGCTGTATTCAGTGTTGCTATGATGGGTGAATTAATCATATGTTTAATTAATCAGTTTTCTTTCTTCTTTTTTTTCTTCTTATTGTATTTTGTATTTTACCAGAAGTTTGAAATTTGAAGTGCTCTTTTGCATGTCAAAGGATGTTCAATGCAGCACAGCATAATTTTCATGATGGGGAGTGATAATAATTTCAAATTGATGGTTTTTTGTATCTAACGTTGAATTTTCTAAGTTTGATTGAATAACTTGCATCCGACATTCTAGATTCGATATACCCAAACATATACCTATAGGTTCGATATACCCAAACAAATTTGCAGGGATTGTTTGGGATCAAACAAAACATGCATAGGCCAAAAATACGAACACTTGCCACGACTTGCATAATACTTGCAAGATTTTATTTAGATTTATTATCACAAAACGTCCCTGATGTTTGCGAAACTATTAGATTGCATCCTTAAAGGTTTTTTAATCACTCATGATCTCTACCGTTAATATGAGTGCTCTTAAATAGTCTCTTTGTTAAAAAAACTGTTAAATTCCCAATTTTATGAGGGATATAATCGTCAACTCCCATTGTATCATCAACCTCCACATCTTCTGCATCTATGACTTGCTCATATACACTATCGAAGAACTCCGTATCATCTTCTTCACTCTCTTCATCTACTTCATGGCCTCCCTCAGCCCATTGTAGTGACCCCACCAAACTGCCCCAGGAAATAAACAAATAATTACTGCCTGTGACTCATGCAACAAGTCTATAATCTTCCCGAGGAGTAAACATTTTTAACTATTATCATGACAGTAGATCAGAAGACAGTTTTTTGCATCATTTTCTGTCCCCGGGTAAATCCTTTATTATCCCATTCAGGGTAACAAGTTCTAAAATATCCTAAACAATGCAAACAAAGAAATAATTAAGCATCATGCAGACCAACCTGTAAATACAACAGAATGTGTCTAAAGCAACAAGAAGCACGTCAGCTTAAGTTGTTTCTGGCAAACATGTTAAACAGATTTTATATGCATTATGAGCCATCCCCTATCAATTTCCTTCTCAATGGTCCTTTGAATAAAAGCATGCATTAACACAAATCAATAGTTTATATTGCTTTCCAGCCATGGCCCATGAGAAAAAGCATTTACATCATCAGAATGCTCACCTGAACTAGAAACTCAGTGCTAAAATATAAAAACTATGAGAGAATATTTGTTTATGGGAATTTTCTGTGTATTCTTCTCCTTGTAGGAGGTCATATTTATCATACAACGAAACCTGAATGGGCAAGTAAATAATAAATTCATAAATCTATTTACAGTAGGAAATCAGAAATTAAAGTAAATCAATTACAATTATAATAGGAATTTTTGGTGTGTAAGGAAAGTAAGTCAATATCAACAAGTCACGCCAACACTTCTCCTCACGTTGGTGCATAGATGTCGCCAATGCCCAACTGATCCAGTGAATTGTGGAATACTTTACTGGAAATCGCCTTTGTCAAAATATCCGCCAATTGATCCTCGGATTTCACAAAAGGAAACTGAAACACTTTAGCCTCAAGCTTCTGTTTGATGAAGTGTCGATTCACCTCAACATGTTTAGTACGATCATGCTAAACTGGATTCTGTGCAATGGCTATAGCAGCCTTGTTGTCATTAAAGAGATTCATTGTGGATGTAGGTTTATACCCAAGTTCAGTAAGCAACTTTCTTAACCAAAGAAGTTCACAAATCCCTTTAGTCATGCCTCTAAACTCGGCTTCTGGACTAGATAAAGCTACTACATTCTGTTTCTTGCTTCTCCATGTCACCAAATTACCTCTCACGAATGTGAAGTAACCCGATGTGGATTTTCTATCTGTTACATTACCTGTCCAATCTGCATCTGAATAACCATCAATATTTAGATGACCATGTTTTGAGAACATAAGTCCTTTTCCAAGTGCAGACTTCAAATATCTAAGTATCCGAAGAACTGCATTCATGTGGTCTTTACTTGGAGAGTGCATAAATTGACTGACAACGCTCACCGCATAAGCAATGTATGGTTGAGTATGTGACAAATGGATCAATCTTCCCACTAACCATTGGTATCTTTCTTTATTAGTTGGAACTTGATCCGGATATTCTCCAAGATGATGATTCTGAACAATAGGAGTGTCTGCAGGTTTGCAATCTAGCATTCATGTGTCTGTCAACAAGTCCAGGACATATTTCATTTGAGAGAGAAATATACCTTGCTGTGATCGAGCCACCTCAATTCCCAAGAAATACTTGAGTCCACCTAGATCCTTCATCTAAAACTCAATAGCCAAATAGTCTTGTAGTTATGATATTTCCTGTTTATCATTCCCACTAATAATCATATCATCAACATAGATTATTAATATTGTTATCTTCCCTTTTCGATGTTTCAAGAATAGAGTACGATCTGAGTTGCACTGTTTGAAATCATTGTTCTTCATTGCCATGGTGAACCGTCTAAACCATGCACGTGGTGACTGTTTCAATCCATACAATGCTTTTCGTAACTTGCAAACTGTTCCAATCTAAGTAGTATTATATCCAAGAGGAATGTCCATGTACACCTCATCCGTGAGTTCGCCATGTAGAAAAGCATTCTTTACATCAAACTGGTGTAGTGGCCAATCCAAATTAGTTGCAAGGGACAATAAGACTCTGACGGTGTTTAACTTTGCAACTGGAGAAAAGGTTTCTTCATAGTCTATATCATAGGTCTGTGTGTACCCTTTTGCCACAAGTCTTGCCTTGTATCGCTTGATAGATCCACCTACATTGTGTTTTATAGTAAACACTTATCTACATCCGATAGTCTTTTTTCCTCGTGGTATAATCTCCAATGTCCAAGTCTGATTTTTCTCAAGAGCTTTCATCTCCTCTTTTATAGCTTGGACCCACTTAGGATCTTTCAATGCTTCAGAAATCTTGGTTGGAATATGGATAGTAGACAACTGATGCACAAAAGCCTTGAGTGGTTCAGACAGCTTCTCAGTGGATACATGATTTGCAATTGGATACTTAGATGTCTTGCCAATATCAGGTGAATAACGGTTTGGTGGCTTCCCACGATTTTGCCTAAAAGGTAATTGATATCCAATAGTTTTATCCTTTAAATGCACAAGTCTAGTAGGAGTAGTTACCTCAAGGATATTCTCAGGAGATTGGTCTGTTGGTACTGTTGAGTTAGAGAGGGGGTCTTCATCTTGTTGTTTTGTATTGTCTGTAGGTGTGAGACTCGGATCAGAAATATCTTCGCATGGATCAGGTGGGTCAGGCAATTGATCGCTATGAATGAGCGATTGATCGCTTGTCGGCAGAGAATAATCTCATGCTCCAGACTCAGGACGATCGATCATTTCTATACATAGGAGAATTTCTTCGTTTTCTAAGTTGCTCCAATTCTGCTCTTCACTTCGTATCTCCTCCTGAAGCGTAGAATTGGATGATGGGTAATGGAAGAACAACTAATATTCCAGAAAGGTCATATCCAAAGTGACATAGGTACGTCGGGTAGGAGGGTGATAGCAACGGTATCCTTTCTAATGAGTGGCATAACCCACAAAAACACAACGAAGCGCACAGGGATCAAGTTTGCTACGTTGATTTTTGTAGAGATGAACGAAAGCCACACATCCAAATATTCGGGTTGTGAGTACCAAAACAGAGGGCAGAGGTTTGTGTTGCGCAAGCACCTATAAGGGAGTTTTAAAGGTCAATAAACCAGAAAGCATGCGGTTGATCAGGTGAACTATGGTGACAATAGCATCATCCTAGTGATGGTGAGGAACATGAGCGCCAATCAGAAGTGCTCGGGCGGTTTCAAGAAGATGTTGATTCTTTCGTTCAGCAACGTTGTAGTGTCTATGGACAAGTCGTCTCATGGATAATTCCATGTTGTTAGAAGTAAGTCTGAAAGTCATAATTGACAAATTCTCCACCATTGTCTGAGCGAAGAATCTGGATTTGAGCATTAAACTGAGTCTTCATCTGTTTGTGGAATGACTGAAAACGGGAAAATACTTCATTTTTATTCTTCAGCAAATAAAGCCATGTCATCCGTGTACAATCATCTATGAATGTGACAAACCATAGAACACCAGAAGGAGCAGTGATAGGTGAAGGTCCCCATACATCATAGTGAATTAATGTAAATGGAGTAGTACACTTGTTCGTACTCAACGGGTAGGGCACACGGTGACTCTTGGCCAAAATACAAGTATCACATGTGAAGTCGGAGTCCTTGAAACCTGAGAATAAATCTGATATAAGATGCTTCATATAACTAAAAGACGGATGTCCCAATCGACGGTGCCACAACCAGATTTGTTGTTGTTTGCTATCAAAGGGATGCGTCACATTATTAGCCACGCCGTGACTGAAGTCATCTACATAATATAGCCCTCCTCTCTTAGTACCACGACCAAGAATCTTCTTAGTGTGAATATCTTGAAGCAAACAAAAACTCAGGTAAATGAGTACACAACAATTCAATTGTTCAGTAAGCTGACTAACTGACAACAATTTATTGGATAAAGAAGGAACAAGTAAAGTATTAGACAGTGAGAGAGAGAATGAGAGTTCAATAGTGTCAGCCCCTGTCACAAGATAAGTAACTCCATTGACATTTGCAATACAAGTTCGTCGAGGTTGTGTAGTATGAAGAAAATCATCAGGATCAAACGTCATATGATCAGTTGCACCGGAATCAATTATCCAGCCCCTGGAATCAATCTTAGCGAATGTATGGAATCCATAACCAGTACCATTACTGGTCGTATTGCGTTGTCCTCAATCTTTAAGAGTAGCCCACCAATCGGGATAACCATGCAATTTAAAACAAGTCTCATGAGTGTGTCTCGGATCACCACAATATTCACAATCGGGTCCATGTGTCGGGATCGTTAGTCGACAAGTCATAATTTGTGCAGTGGAAGATGTATAGGATACCGGTTTAGTAGGAATTTGGATCGGGATCTGAGCCTGAGTCGGGGTCGGAGTCGGAGTTGAAGTCGGAATCGGGGTCTGAATCAAAGACAAATTCGAGGTCGGGGTCGAAGTCGAAGTCATCATCGGAGTGGGGGTCGAGGTCGTTGTCGGAGTCGGGGTCGGGGTGATCGTCGTCGTCATAGTCGGGGTCGGGGTCGAGGTCGAGGTCGAGGTCGTCAAAAGAGGGTCCCGATTCAGGATCAAATTTGGGGCCAAAGTCTGCATCTATAGGAGCTGAGCCATCTGGGCACTCAACTCGGCTATGGTTGGTTGAGAAGGAGAAAAGGAGTCGGTGGTGCTACCTCCATGAGGGATGAAAAAATCATCAACCCTCATAGCGGTGGCGGGGGTGTGAAACTAGAGTCAGTAATTCCAAGATCGCCGCTCTGATACCATGCTAAAATATGAAAACTATGAGAGAATATTTGTTTATGGGAATTTTCTGTGTATTCTTCTTCTTGTAGGAGGTCATATTTATCATACAACGAAACCTGAATGGGCAAGTAAATAATAAATTCCTAAATCTATTTACAGTAGGAAATCAGGAATTAAAGTAAATCAATTACAATAATAATAGGAATTCTTGGTGTGTAAGGAAAGTAAGTCAATATCCACAAGTCACGCCAACACTCAGATCCTCTGGTTTCCTTATCAGCAGAAAGCACAGGGATGAATATTGCACTTTTGTTTTTGTTACTCAGAAACTCAGCATCTCCCTGTTGTATGACCCTCTTGTCTTTACCCAGCAATGATGAACCAACTTGAGCATTTTGTGCACTTGAACTTTCATATATATGTGAACTCTCACTTCTCAGATTAATATTGGGAAAACCACCATATGAATCATAATCTTTTGCAAGAGATGAATGCTTATTAGAAATTCAATATGATGTACTGAATCATGATCTGTGCTTAATTTACACCTTTTTGCAGAGTGAGGTGTTATCAATTCTTCGCCTCGTTTCTCATTTTTGCCAGGAAAACCAAATACTTTACTATCTTGACATTGCAGAGTTTCCCTCTCACAAATAAGCGGCTTTTTCTCATTTCGGAATTGATTATTTGAACACTTCAATGACACAGATTGATCCTTATAGGAAGTAAGAGATGAGCGATTGGCAGGAAGAACTTGCCCTAACATGCTTGAAATCTTGTCCCTGCCAGCTTGAAGTAGGGAAGAAGATGACTTTATAGGGAAAGAGCTGGGAATGCTAGTGAAAATGAAGAGAGTGAAGAAGATAATACGGAGTTCTTAAATAGTGACTATGAGCAAGACACAGATGTAGAATAGGTGGAGGTTGATGATACAATAGGAGTTGACGATTATATCCATCGTAAAATTGGGGATTTAACATTTTTTTAACAGATGGACTACTTAAGAGTACTCATATTAACATTAGAGATCATAAGTGATACAAAAAAACTTTAATGATGCAATTTGATAGTTTTGCAAACGTTAGGTACGTTTTGTGATAATAAGCCTTTTATTTATTAAAAATAACAACAATACAACACTAAGATAAAATAAAAAATTAAGTCTTGTGGGGTCAGCATTGGGTTCAAAAAGAAATTAAATAATCAGAAATGACAATATAAATCGCAGGGCCAGGATTGGCTGTGAGACCCACCGACGCCACCATGGGACCTCCAGCCTACAATTTTCTTCAAAGCAGGTCAACTTCAATAATCTCGAAACATCTGTCTAAGCAGGCTGGTCCACGTGGCCCGAAGCGATCGATCGTGCAGTCGTTGGACACGAACGCATGTTCGTAGAATAGTCGTTGCCGCAGGGAATCACACCAGACTTGCTTCTAAATCCGTTTACACGGGTTGACTCGCACGTGCCATCAAAATCTGTTGAAATTTAGAGTTCAGACATAATAACGCTCTCTCTCTCTCTAAAACCTTTTAACCATTCCATTTTCACTCACTCACTGACTCTCTCTCTCTCTGCAACTTCTATATTTTTCTCTCAAGAACTTGGAGATCTTGAAGTCTCAGCTTCAGAGGGCAGAGCATGCGATAAATCCATGTAAGTTATCTCTCAGCCCTGAAGTTCATAGTTGATAACTGAATCAGTGAATCTTGTAAAAACAGAAAACAGCAAAGATTGAAATCTTTTTAATTTTCTTTGTGAGGTTTGACGATGAATGAGCTTTGAAAAAATTGCATTATATCTTGGTTAAGTGTTGATCTGCGAGTCTTTGGGTGGTTTGGTTCAGTTCTTGGAGTCGCTTCCGAGAAAATGGAGGGAAAGAAAATGAATACAAAAAAGTTAGTTGATCTTTCTCAATAAGTTTTAAGCCCGAGTGGTTTCTTTCTTTGTTTGGCTGTGTTTCATTGCGAATACAATGCTGGAAAGGTAGAATACAAAAAATTTTAAAATGAAATTTTGGGTCTTGATTTTTTTTTTCCTGTGTTATTTTTTAGTAGGGAAAACTAAGTTTTTCAATGGTACAAGCTTCATAGATAGCTATGTATGGATGCTAAAATAACGATGGATGAATCTGTGAGGTTTTTATATTTTGGTTTAACATAGAATGCTGAATGCAGTTATTCTGTTTGATTGCTCAGAACGCCAAATAGCGCTCAGACAAATTAAAAGTTGAATCTTTGAGCTATTTAAGATCATAAAGAAAGATTCGAACAACTGATTTGACTCCGGAATCTATTTTAGGAAAAGAGAAAGAAAAAAAAAAGTATTCTCAATGATTGAACAAGGGTTTTCTGATTCTATTTATGGATAATGAATTTTATTTATTCTTAATTGTTGCAGCAACTCAAAGCACTGTAAGAGGTTAACCAGTTGCAGTGTTCTTAGAGGCCTTGCTACCAAATTGAGTGATAGATGTTCTTCAAATAATGTGGTTTGAGCTTTTTGGTGACATAGAATAGTTAAACAAACCAATGGAGGAAAGCAGTAGGGGAGATTATAAGTCATCGAGGGGAAGTGGAAGTTTTAAGTCTACATTGTCAGGAAGATCAAGTCCGCGAAATTCTCCTTCATTTCGGAGATTGAATTCAAGCCGAACTCCAAGGAGAGAAGCTAGAAGCAGCGGAGGTGTGCAGTGGTTTCGGAGCAATCGGTTATTGTTTTGGTTGTTATTGATTACCCTTTGGGCTTATCTTGGATTTTATTTTCAGTCCAGTTGGGCTCATAGCAACAAGGAGAACTTCTTGGGGTTTGGAAATAAAGCAAGCAATGGAAACTCAGACACTGAACAGAATGCGAGGAGAGATTTGCTTGCCAGTGATAGTTCTATGGCAGTTAAGAATGAGACCAACCAAAATCAGGTAAAAGCTGGTAAAAGGATAGATGTGGTTTTGACAAAAAAGGAGAATGGAGTTTCATCTCGTCGAAGCGCAAGTTCAAAGAAGAGGAGTAAAAAATCAGCTCGTAGTCTACGTGGTAAAGTGCATGGTAAGCAGAAGAAAACAGTGGAGGTTGAGGGCCATGAGACAGAGGAGCAGGAACTGGACATTCCTAAGACAAATACTTCTTATGGGATGCTTGTTGGTCCATTTGGCTTTCTAGAAGATAGAACTTTGGAATGGAGTCCTAAAACGCGGTCTGGAACCTGTGACAGGAAGGGGGACTTTGCACGTCTTGTTTGGTCTAGGAGATTTCTATTAATATTCCATGAACTTTCAATGACTGGGGCCCCACTTTCTATGATGGAGCTGGCAACAGAGCTTTTGAGCTGTGGAGCCACGGTTTCTGCTGTAGTTCTTAGCAAGAAGGGTGGCTTGATGCCAGAGCTAGCAAGGAGAAGAATCAAGGTGCTTGAGGACAAAGTAGAACAAAGCTTCAAAACTGCCATGAAGGCAGATCTAGTCATCGCCGGGTCAGCAGTGTGTGCATCATGGATTGGTGAGAACCATTTTCCAAAAATCCGTTAATGTAATTTGTAAAATTTAAATTCAGTGCATTTGCTGATCTCAAAGAGTTTAAAGTGCATAATATTAACTAATCAGCTGTACCTCCATTTTTCTCTGGGATGCATCAGATATAAATTTCCAGTCAGTATTCCATTTGTAATTTCTAATTTGTATCTACATGGTTTCCTTCTTTTAACACTTTATTTTCTATTGGTTTTTTCTTGTCATTAAAATTTCTGTTAAACTAAGTGACAATCATCTTAGCTATTAAGTGTGAAGCTGATTTTCTTTGACTTCGTTTGCATGCATCATGGTATACTACAATACTAATAGACAATAAACGTTTTATTTCAGATCAATACATGGATCATTTTCCAGCTGGTGCAAGTCAAATTGCTTGGTGGATCATGGAAAACCGGAGAGAATACTTTGATCGGGCGAAGGTTGTGCTTAACAGAGTGAAAATGCTGGCTTTTCTATCAGAATCACAGTCTAAACAATGGCTAGATTGGTGCGAAGAAGAAAAGATTAAGCTGAGGTCTCAGCCTGCAGTTGTACCACTCTCTATTAATGATGAGCTGGCCTTTGTAGCTGGCATAGGTTGTTCACTTAATACTCCATCTTCTAGTACTGAGAAGATGCTCGAGAAAAGGCAGTTATTGCGAGATTCAGTCAGAAAGGAAATGGGGTTAACAGACAATGATATGCTTGTGATGTCTCTGAGCAGTATAAACCCTGGAAAGGGGCAGCTCTTGCTTCTTGAATCAGCACGCTTGGTGATTGAAGAACCTCTGAAATATAATTCTAAGATAAAAAACCCA